ATGAAACCCAGAGTATCAACATCAAATAATATGTATGAAAACCGGAGTATCAACATAAAAATTAAGGTATATGAAAACCAGAGTATCGACATCAAATAAGGCGTAACAGAATATCAACATCAAATAATATGTATGAAAACCGGAGTATCAACATAAAAATTAAGGTATATGAAAACCAGAGTATCAACATCAAATAAGACAAGACCAAACACGGCCTAACTTCTTTAACTTTAAGTAAAAATCTTTTTATGCCTTGTCAGCTACTAAAGGAAACCCATCCCCTAATAGTATAAAACCACGCCTTAGTGTGTATGGACTAATGTATCCATTCATTCAACCCTTCATATAAAAACGTGATAGCTGCGACAGAAAGTCGCCAGTCTTTCTGTTACTAAAACGTCGATACGCTTGGCTAGTTGTGTTCTGGTCTCGGGTCAGTGGAGCATCCTACCTAGCTGGTCTCACTTTGAACTTATGTCGACGACCATCATCATAAAGTGACCTCTCAGATACGCATCACATATCAATATTTCAAAAACGTATCACCAGAGAGGGTACTTAACAGCAGCGATAACACAAGTAAAAAACCAGCCGAATACAACTCATTCAATGTTAGGTAAAAGTGGCCTCGGTGGCTAAAAATAAACTTCAATTTCTGTCTTCCAGTTGTAATTTTTTTCAGTTGAGGAAACAGGTAAGTGATTTGAAGCAGGACTGAGATGAGGCAAACATTGGGCATACTGGTGAGACAAACAGGGCATACTGGTGAGATAAACATTGGACATACTGGTGAGATAAACATTGGACATACTGGTGAGATAAACATTGGGCATACTGGTGAGACAAACATTGGACATACTGGTGAGATAAACATTGGGCATACTGGTGAGACAAACATTGGACATACTGGTGAGACAAACATTGGGCATACTGGTGAGATAAACAGGGATAATGAGGAGACAAACATTGGGCATACTGGTGAGAGAAACATTGGGCATACTGGTGAGATAAACATTGGGGTATACTGGTTAGACAAACAGGGCATATTGGTGAGACGAACATTGGGCATACTGGTGAGATAAACATTGGGCATACTGGTGAGATAAACATTGGACATACTGGTGAGATAAACATTGGGCATACTGGTAAGACAAACATTGGGGTATACTGGTGAAACAAACATTGGGGTATACTGGTGAGAGAAACATTGGGCATACTGGTGAGACAAACATTGGGGTATACTGGTGAGATAAACATTGGGGTATACTGGTGAGAGAAACATTGGGCATACTGGTGAGACAAACATTGGGCATACTGGTGAGATAAACATTGGGGTATACTGGTGAGACAAACATTGGGCATGAACAACTTAAACTGGTGAGAGAAAACATCACGAATGAAAAAGTTCAATTGGAGAGACATGAACAAACAGCAACAGTGGTAAAAATAAACGTGAGAAATTTGGGAACATAAACAAATTTCCGAACCTAAACAGACATGATGTCTTCAAGCAGGTGTACTCACCATTACACTACTCTAATTGAATTCTAACAGCCATATGGGGGGAGGGGGTGTGAGAAAAGTTAACGGTTTGCTATAAAAAGAGCTAACGGTAGGATGTGAATGTTTTTTTTTAAGGTTGCTGACTACACCTGGGAAGATGGCATACGTTGGTTGTTGTTGTTGTTACTGTGGTTAGGGAAGTCCCTGACCCTCAGAAGGTGAGTGAAATTATCGAGTACAATATCACCCCAGCCAACAACCCGAGAGTTTTTTTACCTTGACATTTGAAACCAAAGCCGTAACTGTGCCTTACCTGCGCTCTCCAGTTGCTCCTATACACTACCACGATAATCTATTTTAGATTCGCACGCGATTTTTTTTTTCTTTTAGATCTTAGAAAAGTAGGAAGAGAATTTAAAAATACACAAGTTCATCAAACATGACACGGGCAAACAAATGTGGATTCATTTTACTAAGATCTGTCTCTTCGAGACGAAACTATTTTTGTCTATCTCTAAGGCTACCAAGTCATATAGAAGATAATAGATCTACGTCTTGTCTCTAAATACCTTCATCATTCGTCTTGCTCAAGTCACCAGCACATGATTACCTAGAATTTTGAACACCGAACTACACGTTTATTTTTGTGACGACTGACTGCTGAAAGAAATATTCGTGTGAGAAATTGTTTTAAATTAAAAAAAAAAACTAAAAGGAGATGGGTGAAAAAAAAAGAGTTCGATACGATGTGAGGATGAAGAACGTGTCAAGAATGCGTTATAGAGACACGGTTCAACAAGTCCGTGTCTGCCCATCTTCAATGCCAACATTGCGTCTGGTGCGCACCTCAACATCCCAATAAACGTCAGCGGCGTGTACCTGATGGTGTAATAACCAGATAAATATGCCGGGACACCCTCTCGGTATGCCTGTTATTGCGTCATTTATATGTGTCAACATGTGTTGAGTAATGGGTTATTTTTAGATACCACCACAAATCGTTGCCACCATTTTAATTTTTTATTTTAGGGGGGGGGGGGGGAGAATGACATTACGTTTGTAAGCGCAATACAAAGACTAAATTTTATGTTTTTTAAAACCCACTGCGCAATGTGAGTAGTGCTAATAAACAACCATCATTGCACAACCATTAACCACTCATGCGTGACCACCAACTATATTTGTGAAAGCTTTACTATACACACATGAACAAATACAGGATACGCCTTAACACAGTAAAATGTGTGTAGGTAGTTATGCTAGTCGCTCATTTTAAATAAGGCGACGTTTATCTTAACGTTAGGTTATAACAAGCCTGAAAGAAATAACTATCAATGGTAAAGTTTATGTCTAGAACCGATATAAATGGTGGGTATAGGTCTACATCATAAAACAACACACTGTCAACTGGCAGGTTTAAGTCACACGGGACTATTGTTGCCTAGGTTAATCCTTGAATGTTAAGGCATCAACTAGTCTCGGCCCAGCTGAAACCCAGGATATCTTTCAACATCACCACTAACCCTCGCTCACCTACAACATGCAAGGTGAGGTTTAAACGACCGTACCGGGGAGAAAAAGTAAGGTCACAGATACAAGAGATAGCACGTGACGCCGTTAAAGAGATCCAAACTATAAATATTAGCCACGGCCTAATGTTTGTTAGCCCCGTCTTGTGGTTGGAGAAAAAAAAATCTTGCACACATAATTGTCAACAATGACAGATGGTTCAGCGTGCCCTGAGTTTGTTTACATTCGTGTAATCGATCAGCGACTGGCTGAAGATGTGTAGTCTACTTTTTTCACCGTCCAGAAACAGCCAGCACACTAGACCGACGGATAGCACGGTGTGTGGTCGTGTTACTGGCCAGAGCACACGTGGACCAAAAGTATAGTTTACACGGTAATGGTACAGCAATACGTTATGTGTAAATGTACACACACGTGGAAATCAACACAACAAGAATTCATCAGCGAGATGGGGAAAAACGACTAGCTATGTGCTCATGTATGCTAACAATGATATGAGTGTAACAGTTATGTCAGTAGAAATAAGGAAGAAAATTAGCTTCAGCTGCAAAGGCTGTGTCTCATAGTTGGCACAGACCCTTGCATAATGATTTATCCATTTTACAAGTACCAAGAGGTTAAATGTGACTATCATTACACAAGGTCAAATGTGACCAGCACAACATAGTCAAATGTGACTAGCACAACATAGTCACATGTGACTAGCACAACACAGGTCAAATGTGACTAGCACAACACAAACCAGTTAAACCTAACTTGCACAACACAAACCAGTAAAATGATACTAACCCAACATTAACCAGTTAAATGTGAGTAGCTCAACAATGACATGTTAACATTACAAAAATACATTATACTATCCCCAAAACACACAACAACAAAAAAAAAAAAAAAAAAAAAAAAAAATTATGTCATTTCAAAAATAAAATAAAAGCAGGTGTTGACCTATTTTCCTACTTTATCATCTCCATCTGTAACAAGGCACCCTGTGACAAGAGCTTACAAGTTTTGCATATGAAAAGGTATAACTTCACACGCACACACATGTAGAAGAGAAGGGGGTATATCCACAAACACAAAGACCTTTCCATACACACATAAGCAAGAAATCACACAGAGACCATCTTGTAGTATTATTTCTTAAAGAATTGTTGAAAGTGAACAATACAGTCAGTATTAGGATTTAAAATCAGTTACTTTCAAACATTTAAGCTTAAGACCAAGTCAATTATTTCATATTTGATAAATTAAGACTTCAACTTAGTTTACATTTCTTTCATAGAACTAAAATGGAAGAAGATGGTATACTAAGTATTTTTTAAAAAAAGGAAACAAAAAAAACCCACAAATCTATATATTATGAATCTCAAAATAATATCTCAAACTGATGCCAAAGCACACAGTTCCAAAAATATTTTTGACCCAGACACTAAGTGCTAGACATCAACTTAATTAGGAGCATTTGAAGGAGTTAACAGACTTCAACATTTTGCCAGGTAAAAAAGGACATCAGAGAAATGTGGCACACCAAGAAAACTTTAATTATTAGGCTTCTTTTTTTTAAATTGGTTAATTACTGATGGATATTTCCAAATCTAGATTTACTAATTACCTTTTTTTCCCACACTGGCAAGTCCAATACATTTTGGTATTGAGGGAATAAGGAATTCAATCAGTGAGTGCTTATAGCATTTAAAAACTTTAATTATCCTATTAGCTATCTGCTATGTGACAAGACAAAAATAAAATATTTTAGTGTTTCATGTCTACGACATCTGTTCCATGAATTACCACCAAAAAAAAATCAATAAAAATAGAAAAGTTGAAGAATCCCATGTATGTTGTAAACACTAAGAAATATCAATTTAACGAATGATACACAAATGATAAAAATATAAACAGGGAGGACGTCTACAATATTAAAAAAAAAAATCTTAAGCTTACAGCAACAAAAGTAAACAACTCACCCTGCAGGATAGGCAATAGTTCCATTATTGGAGTCACATGAGAGGCCAGCATTAGATGACACTGTCACTCCTAACACTCTCTGCAACTGAACCTAAAGATTTATAACGTAGTTATATCATCACGTAATCATCGCCCACATCAGTCTGATTTAACAACTTACAAAACAGCAATCAAAGATTTGGACCAACTGTTATGGAATGTTTAGTTATGGATATTAAAACATGGGTACTTTAAGATTTTAATTCTCCGTGCAGGCTAGGGTTGTGACTGTTAAGTTTTAGAACTTTAATTAATGCAATAACCTTTTAATGTACAGGCAGAATATAAATTATCATGAACCCAACAGTACTGTTGGGTAAGCAGTTGTTTGCTCCACCATTTGACCATGCCGTCACATAAAATATAAATTATAATTAGATAATATCATAAAACATTCTTTAATGCCCAAAATATGGAATAGTGCAGGGCAATGTTAACAAAAAAATCTTGAGTTCAGATCCCAGACTGTAGACATTGGAGTATGAAGGCTAAGCTGATTCCATCTTATTCTGATGTGTACAAGACTCACTTAAAGGAAAAGTAGCTGGGTATAGAAGAAGTGACCAACTATCCCTTCATATGCTGTAGTCATAGAAATTATCAACTCTACTTCATAACACTGAGATATATCTAATTTTCTCCAGTGCCTAATAAAAATATAAGGGATTCTAAAAATTGTGTGTTTTTGCTAGTAGAACTATTAATTTATTTTATACTACTGACAATACTAAGTCTACCTTATTTTTAACCTGAGTATCTGAACATAAATCCAGAACTGAAAAAGTGCTAAGTTTAATAGAATACACAGAAAAGAACAGTACTGTAAAATATTTCAACACACTGGTTAACAATGATGCTTGTGAAGTCTTCAACAAATTACCAGCATAAATGTTTAAAAGTCTATGGTACAAACTTCACTCAGGAGGGGCTTTAAAATAGAAAACACCCACACCCCCACACTACAAACATATGATATATTAAAAAGCCATTTCCTTAAAATAATGCATGAAACATACAGGCTGCACAAGAACTTGGTGGGAAATCATGAGAATTCTTCATACCACTACCAGTGTCAAACAATGCCACAAGAATTAAGTTATCTGATAAATCTTTTCATAATTCAAAACCTTATACAGCATTATTCAAATACTAGATCTATGGCTGATTTTACAATACTACTTAACCTTATAAACTATTTTTGGAAACTTCATAGGCAGACTCAGTGAGTAATAAAAATACACTAAAATATTAAGAATCTAGGCGATGGTTGATTTTATTTTAATTGATATACCTTAGCCCATATTCTTAAATTCAATTAACTAAAAAAACACTAGATTCTTTTTAAGGGGTAGTCCATGAACGACAGCACACTCCTACGGGCGTTCAGACTTTTGTGATGAGTGTAAGAGTGGGTAAGTTTCAGAAAAAGTGACAACACTTTTGCAGTTTTAACTTAAGGCCATATTAAAAAAAAATGTTTTTGTAAAGTGTGGTGTACTAAACTGATCCGAATTTACTAAATACTATTTAGGTCTATTGATTTAATATAATTTAATGCTGATAGAGCTCAATATGTATAATCTATTTAAGAAAGTAGGGATAAATTGTGGTTTTAAAAACAAAAACTGCAATTCTGAGGGGATCATGGTATATTATTTACGGGGGGGGGGGGGGGGGGAGAGAATTTTTGTCAAGGTGACAAATCATTTTGAAAAGTGTGACGTCTCTAGGTTAGGAAGGATGACCACACATAGGCCGAATTATTAGGTACCTAATGCTAATTAGTAATTCTAAATTTCAAAAATCACCCAATTCTCGTGTGATCACATAGTTACTGACACTAGCTAAAAAGGCAATAGATCTAAAATAAATAATTAATAATACCTAGATCTACTAGAATCTAGCTAGATCTAGATCTAGTCTACTACTAGAATCTAGATCTTGATCTACCTTGAATCTAGATTCTAGACTATCTAATCATCTAGTATCTTACTATCTAGACTGTGTCTTGTAGCACAACTTGTAGGCTTACAATAAATTTTAAAATTTTCATTTACGAAGTGACTCAATAGTCAATAGTACTGTACTAGATCTAGATCTAGTACTTACTAAAGATCTACTATACGCGTATTCAATTGCAATAATAGGCATAGGCCTAAGGTAAGTAATAACCAATAAAATGATCACACTGCGTCTTCTCCTATCTATCTAGATCTAGATATCTATAGACTCTAGAATCTAGATCTAGATTATATCTAGATCTAGAACCTAGAAATCTTAAAGACTAATACTAATACATAGTCTAATAATATAATAACTATTAACTAAGTAATATTGTAATATAGAGTCTATATTCTATATTCTATAAGCTATCGTTAGCTGAGCGAGAGCATCGCTCAAAAATTTCAATCACGTCATTTTTCCTTTAAATTTTAAAAATCTAACCTACGTCGAAAGTTACTTACTCTTTGATTTACGGGCAGAACTTTGTTTTTTCTCTTAACTGATGGTGAACGAAGTATTTTTCGATGCTGTCGTACGTTATCCATCATCCGAATTTAAAACAATATCCTAAATAATAAATCCTATCCCATTGTATCGTATACCCCAGTATTGCCTTTGGAGAACACACAAACTTTTGAGTCAGGAAATTTTCTGCGTGACTGACAGCCGCTATTCCTAAGTGCTGTTCTAAGCTTTGACTTGATTGGTCAGCTATTTTTAACACAGGAGGGTTTCCTTGCTCTAATTCAATAAACAATCTAAAACCTAAATATTGTGTGGTTTACACGAACACACAAAAGTGCTTACTATTGTCAACTCAATGACAAGTATTAGTTTATCTAGATCTATAGTACAGGTGTTAAAGAACGTTTGAAAAAAAAGTGCTTAGTAAAAACTACTTAATATCCAGAAAGATTTTTTAAAATTAATGTGGGCTGAAATTTGTAATGAATAGTCACTTTGTAGTAATTATATATTATATAGGGCCTAATAATATTAGGCTAATAATAATAATAGACCAATGACAATAATAATTATATAATATATAATGATAACTAGTAATCGTGATTCAGCATTGTTTGAGCAAATATAAATTTTATATAAATGTAGCTATTATTATTAAGAATTCAAAATGTGAGAACATGTGCGATAGGCCTAATCTAATGTTTTATTATTTTATACTAAAATAGAAATGAAAAACTATCGGTAGGTAACCTTAAGCATTTTGAAAAGTAGATAGGATATATCTATATATTTAATAATGTAGGCCTTAGGACTATAGATCTAGATATAGATCTATATCAAATGATAACTAATAAATAGGCCTAATTACATGGCATTTAGTTTTTACAAGTACAATTGGGCAGAATACACAAAGTAAATGTTTGTTTTTGGTATTTAGATATATGCAAAACCCTGTAGTTAAAAATATAGATTCTAGCTCAAAAGGCAAAAGCGAAAGTAAGAACAAGGCTTCTGAATAATAACTGATCTAGAATCTAGATCTAACAATATGTCAATTTACTCAAGGGAAAAAGGTTACGATTTGTTTGAGGACGATGAAGACGAGAGCTTGTCCGAAGATTACGAAAGCAGGTAATCTAACTAAAATTTTAAAAATGTAATTAATTTAGATCTAGATCTAGTAAAAATTCACTTTTTTTATTTTTAGGTACGTAAAAATTTTAAATAGTAAAATCGCTCGCCACTAGTAATGTGAAAAACAGGTGACTCCTTAAATTTTAATAATTATTTCACATTTTGAGGAGGATTTAGAATAATTTAGATCTATGTTTTGAAAAATAAAAAAAATGTTTCCTTGTTTCATTTATGTCTAGAATCTAGAGATCTACCTGTTTTTAAACAATTAGGCTAACAATTGAATTAAAACTTTACAGTAATAAATAAATAAATGAAGACTAGCGATGTTTCCAGCAGATGCAACCATGCTCATTTACTATAGACTATAGCAGCCACCTTGTTTAAGTTCTTTTTTTGTAAACTTATTCAGGGGCAAGCCATTCTATTTTACAAATGGCTGCTGTTTATATATATAGTATAGCAAATCTTGCTCGCAAACACTGCTGTTTAAAGATAATTTCTGGCCTATATTGATCTATTTAAGCCATTGATTTTGGTTTATTATTCATTTATCTATATAATCTATAATATTTGACACAAATATATCACAATCTATTAAAGCCTTGACAATGAGGTAACTTTTTCGTACATTTCTAGCCCCGGATGAATTTACGTACCTAAAACAATAGATTACCAAATTCTAGATTACTAGGATTAGGCCTTAACTACCTAAACTAAACTAATAATCGTAACTAATAATATTATTATTAATATTATATTATAATAATATAGCCTACTTTAAACTACTTATTACTAACTTTACTTACTACTTATTATTTTACTAAGAATTAATTACTAAAATTACTCAGTCTGAGTCTAATACTAAGATTCTAGATCTAATATTGACTAATATTGCATTCTACGGAAGGTGTTGTTAAAATGCAAAACTCAAAATGACAAGTCCAGAAGTGTGAAGAATTATTTTAAAAGCAGGTCTTGTTTTTTGTATCATTTTCATGTCAATAACATTTATATTTTGCCTTTGGTGTACATCCATTTGCAGTTCAGAGGATGAGATTAACATAATTCTTCATGGTACCCCTGAACAGCGTAGAAAGCTCCAGCATAATCAGAGAATACAGAAGCAACATGTCACAGGAAAGAAACCCATTGCAAAATCTTCAAGTGAGGATGAGTTTGAGAAAGAAATGACTGCCGAGTTGAATCAACAAGTTAAATTTCTTGAAGAATCCAGAGGTATAATAATAATCTAAAGTTTTAATTTAACACACAAAACACTATACTTAATTTTAGTGTCTTTATTATTTTTAGTTTTCAAAATGCATAAAACTGCTGCCTATTAAGGGTTTTCTCTTACCAGTATTTCTATTAGAGAGGATTAGGGTAAGGGGGACGGAGTGGTCTAGCGGTAGAGAGCTGGATTGCTAACCTGTAAGTCTCGAGTTCAAATCCGGGTTCTAATCAGTAGACCGTCCCTGAGTCAACCCAACTCTGATGGGTACCTAACTTACGTTAGGGAAAGTATAGGCGGCTGGGCATAGTGCTGACCACACTATCTCTTCATATGCCGAGGTCATAGAAACAAGTGAACTCTACTTCACTTGCCCCATAGACCATCAGGTTTGAATGGGAAACTTTACTTTTACTTTAGGGTAAGTGTTAATGGAACTATATTAGCAAAAGTAATAGATATGCATAGAGGTATTCTCAGTATTCTGAGTTTAAACCAAAATTTTTTGTTTTTGTTTCATTGTTTATTTAAATTATAATTTACTTTTCAATAAAGAGTTGTGTTAAAATCACTTCATCTTTTCCCCTTTGTGCTCAAGACACATGAGGCCACCACAGAAAGTACCCTCCACTTTTTTCTGTCACCTGCAATTTCCTGGCAGTTCCAGAAGACACTCCTGTCTCTGCCAGCTGCTCCCCCGCAATGGACCTACACATCTCCATTGGCCTTCATTGTTTTCTATTTCCTTGAGGCATTCCTGATATATCATAGGCTATATTCTTAAGAATATCCCCATCCAGCTCAATCTTTTTTTTTTCAGTTCAATTCCATTTGCTTTGTCTGTGTGTGTTAAAATAGTTTAACTTAATATATTTATTTATACCAATGCTCTTGAAAGGTAAAAATGCTGTTGCTGGAAGCTCTTTACAACTTGCTGAACAAACACCAACCACAACAGCTGATGTAAATATACCCACAAATGTAAACATATCTGTTGATGGGAATGTAACAAAAAATGTCAGACAGAAAGAAGAATATTATGATGAGGTTTATTTTGATTCAGAAGATGAAGATGAAGAAAGTTCTGGAATTAAAATTTCTAGTAAGTTATATATTTAACATTGATGGCACAAAATCTTTTAATTTTACCCATAATTTTTATAATTTTTTAGGAATGCTTTCTAAATTAGTGCCAATTTAAAGAAAAAAAATCATTTACTTTTCCAGATAAAGGGAAACATGCTGTGATTTCCAATGATGATCTGCTCTATGACCCAGACATGGATGATCAAGATCAGAAATGGGTTGACCGTCAGCGAAGTATGAGACACAATGGAAGTAGTAGATCAAATTCTGGCAAGGCCCCATCAAGTGATGCTCTGCTTGACTGTCCTGCTTGTATGACCACATTATGTTTAGATTGTCAAAGGTAAATTTTAAATAGTTTATAAGTAATTTTAACACGTCAACTTCATCTTGCTGTTGTAATATCAAATATAGATAAATTAAGTATTTTATACATCATCAACGCAATTAATCTGATGAACACAGTTGGATATCAGATCTGATATTATGTATCTAAACAAAATTATATTGTCTGCAGACATGAAAGCTACAAAAATCAATACAGAGCAATGTTTGTCATGAATTGCACAGTAGATCAATCAGAAACACTTGAATATCCAGAGCAAGCCCCCAAAAAGAAGAAGAAAAAGCCACAAGAAACAGCTCCCCAAGCCCTGTCATCTAAAGATTTGTTTAATCCTGTGCGATGTATTGAATGTAAAACAGTGGTTGGAGTTATTGATAAAGATGAAGTTTATCATTTTTTCAATGTTTTGGCGAGCCATACTTGAAATAGTCCTTAAGCTCTGAGCCACCCATATATTATCATTAGATAGATATTTTTATTTTAAAAATTTAACCAGTACTTATTTTAGAATTATTTTACTCCTTGAGTAAATTATTATAATTTTTGTATCATTTAATATTAAAACATTGTATTATTTACTTTTTACTGTAATGAAAACAAATTGCTAAATCACCCCTTTTACATAAATATTAAAATTTTGAAGCATTTTAATATTAACAGTTAGAGAAATTCATTTTTTGAATTAGTCATGTTTTTGTTTAGTAATTATAAGTGAGTTGTTTCTTAAAATGTAATCTGAATTTAACAACCTGATTTTTGTTTTACATTTTAAGTTTTTAAATTAATATTTAATAAAGATTATTGCTCTTTTATGTTTTAATTTAAATCTTAGCTTCTTTAATAATTGATTAATGGACAGTCTTTATAAGCATGAACTTTATCTGAAAAGATGGTAGCAGTTTTATAAGTACTATATGAGTGGCTCATGTTTGATTTTGAATGGTATTTGTATATTATGAGGAAGATTGTATAAGAATTGAATTATTTTTCATGATGACTGACTATTTTGCTTATTTTAAAGCATTAAAGAGTCATACCTTGTCTCTTCTGAAATGTTTTTAAAATGTGTAAATAAATTATTGACCTACAATTATGGAGTTTTTATTTAAAGGTTTTTTTTTACAAGTATCATCGTTCATGCTCTTTTTGCAATATTATTTTACTCCATCTAGCAAGTGCTTCCATAGCTAATTGTGCAAACATTTATAACTATTTTTTTAAAAATTACTGTTAAAAAAAGGTTGCTCAGAAAAATTACTTGACAGTATTGAGCATGTAAAAAAATATCACCATCTGGACTTATTTTTAAAATATATAATTTAGGCCCATTTTGGCTAAAACATGTTTACTTTGAGTATAAGCTGAAATCACTAATTCAATGGGCATTGTCAGTGAGGTGGTTTTAAAAATGAGCCATTCTCTCTTACAAGAGAATGCAGAGTCTGAAATACGACTCAATGGTTAAAAGCCTTTCAAATGGACACTGCATATTTGGCATACAAAAAATATTAGTTAATTTAATTAATGCTGCTTATGTTGTTTTTTTTTTAAGTAGTCCTACACAAATCAATGAGTTGTCATAAAGATTGCTTTGGCAACTACTTGAAATGCAAACATGTTCTACCATTCGAATAAAATAATATGATGGATAGTGGTTACAAAATATGACAAACCTTAGCTAGGTACATTGTTTCTTCCAGACTTTTTTAGGGGGAGGGGCCCTGTGAAATTTTTTTTTTTGGGGGGGGGGGGGGGGGGGGGTGGACACTGTTAAAAGTATAAATTTTCTATATAAATTCCATTTCGTTCGCGGGATTGGGGGCAGAGCCTGGAAGAAACACTGGCTTGGTAGGTCCTTGTTTGTCTTTAAAGTTTCTGTGAATCCTTGAAGGAGACGACTATTTATCAACTATAGAAAATATCCTTTGGTTAAGCCTAGGTAGCCTGTCTATGAAAGATGATTTTTATGCCTCCACACATTAACATTTCCTAAGCAGTTTTTCTTCCATCAGGGGAGATAAAAAGAGATTAGATTATCTGAAAACATTAGTTGGGTTGTTTCTCTTTACAATAAAAATAACAGCAATATAAGTATAGATCAAGTCATTTTTATTTGCCATCTAGATCTAGTTTAGGATCTAAGTTGATTTTGCCGGAGACATCTCTAACCACTGTACTGTTATTTTTGCTAATCCAGATCAATTTTTATCTAGATTCGTTAATCAATTTTCATTTCATTTTGCAAAAAAAAAGTTACAAATGTAAGCATATAAAATTTCATTATATTTAATTCATATTTTAAAAAAAATAGTTTTTAAACTTGATAAATGATTTTCCCACACTTTCTTAATACACCTCACGCTAGATAGGCCTACACATCTTCACAAAAATTCCCCCCCCCCCCCCTTTTACTCGGACATGTTAAATCAATTATGACTATACATCATTTAAATTAATGTCTTTAATTAACAAAATTATCCTTTTGTAAAATTCTTTTTTTAAAATCTAGAATTGTTTTATTATAAATTGTTCTGATATACTGTAAAATTTTCAAGTTTGATTTTAAGCAACTAGCCTGATTTCCCCCTAGGGCCTACACAGTACACAGACTAACACAAGGGAGATAAATCAGTAGTCTTAATAAGTACAAAGTAATCTAAAGGCCTAAACAGTACAAAGTTTTAATCACGATTTGTTAACTTCTAGTCTAGTAAATAGTAAATATTAATAATAAATAGATCTATATCTGAATCTTCAGAGTCTAGATCTAATTTTTAAAAAACATTAGAGGAGAGTAGGGAGTTCAAGAGACAACTAAAAGTTAGTAGGTCTATACTGTAGAGTAGAGTCTAGAATACTATAGACTATTATAGATCTAGATCTAAATTCTATTCTAAGATTCTTAGTTTTGGCACTTTTGCGTGACTTTTGGGTAGGCTTTTTGATGAGAATTACAGAATGATTTTTTTATTAAAAATGTATCAATAATAGCTTGCACACTAGTAAACTAAGCCAATTTAGCATATTTTAACTTTCTGTGCAAAGTCATAATTACTGAAAAAAATTCCAAAGTCAGGTCAGCCTGTGGCACCCTCCACTGAACATAACAGAAGGAAAAAAAAACTTGACCCGTGACCTTCATTAAAACAGAATTTGCTTTTGTTTTTTTTTCATTTTTAGTAAATATGTGCTTAATCTTACCCAATAAGTGATAAAAATTTGAAAATTAATTTTAATTACTGTTGTAAAGTGAGATAAACAGCTTAATAAACACGTGTTTTCTTGAGGGGGTGTGGCACATCCCGACATCGCATTGTTTGTAACTTTATATTTGTGTTTTATGACTATATTTGTTCACAATCAGCATGCTATGCTTTTAATTTTGATAAAGGGTAAGTATACCAAGTTACAAAACCTGAAATCTAACTAATAATTCATACTTTCAGTTTAAAAAAATAATGAAAACGATCATCAATGAAGAAAGCGTAAACATTCTATTTTTAGGTGTGACATAAAAAACAGTCATAAATCTAGCCGAATGATTGGATTCTTGCGCGTCACACATTTTCCCGCGCTTCGTGTTCACCAAAAAAGATTATAATAAAATGGCATTATTATTCTTACAGAGCATATCTCATGCCTACCATAAATTATTACCAGTTTATTGTAACGTGTGTAAAATTAATGCTTTCAAGTAAAAAATAGCAATAGTCTGGTTAAAAATACCTGCGGTATTTTATAGTTATTTGATTCGAAAGATAAGAATTATATAGAGCTACTTTCACTAAGGCGCCGCTTGCGAGACAAACATAGAAATTAGGCCAAAAGTAGATCCGACAATTCTTAAATAACAGACTTAAATAGAAACGGATAGTTCCGATTTCTTAAATTAACGATGGCTTCGTAATCATTAGTTTTATCGCTCTACCCATTAGTGAAAGCGAAACTGGTCGCCATTTTTGGTAAGCGCATGAGCCGTGAGATGGCTTCAAAACAACAAACCCGGAAGCTGTGAATTCGAACGGCCTACTTTTGGGCCTATCTAAATTGGAATTCTAAAACTAGTACTAGTAATTTTTAGTAGTACTAAGATCTAGATCTAGATTCTAGATCTAACTAAAAGTTAAAAGTATCCACCACCCTCCTAGCTAGAAGCTACTTCAAGCTAGGCCTAGGCCTAACCCAAGGCCTAAGCGCCGGGCTGCTAAGCCTAAGGCTTTAAGTTTAAGGGCTGTAACTAATCCTAACGGCCTGCCCCAAATATAAAATATTAAAATAAGCCTAAAAATTAAAAAAATGCCTTAATGAAATGATTATCTAGGCATTACCGATACCGAATACCATTTTAATCATCAAAATTTTTAATGATATAATATATATTAGGCCTATACTTAATACTATATTCTAATCCTAAAATCTTTTATTCAATTATTTTATTTTTGTAATATGATTATTTGACTAGGCCTATTTGTTGACAATAACATCAACATGGATGAAAAAATGTGTTTTGGGGATACCAGTGTGACCGATACTAGATCTAGATTCTAGAATCTTCTTTTAAAAAGGCAAAGAGTTGAAAGAGTGTTACTCACTGTAGTCCATTCGTTTCGTGAAGTCTCGTACTCCCGGTTTTGAAGCTACTGAGTTTTGGATAGACATATAAAATATCAAATCATTTTTTCTCATGAAGAACATGAGTAGGCTACATGGTAGTTAAAAATGGGGATTGTTATCTGAAACATTTGTATTCGAAACTGCCCACATATACATCGGCCAAATAATAAGCAGCTTGACCTAATTTCTTTTTCTGTCTTTTATGAGGCGAGAGAAAGTCACGCTTAATTAGCTTGTGTTTCAAGTCCAATAAACTAAAGCAGGTGCTGCTTCCCTAACTTTATTATTATTTTTCTTTTTTAAAACATTTTCACCATCAAATAAAAATAGAATTGTATAATAAATTTATTGTGGAAACAACCCATTCGACAGTGGAAATGATCATGTTAAGACACCATTTTATTATAATCTAATCGCCAATTCCAGACGAGGTGAAGGGGTGGGAGTGGCCTTTGACGGACTGTAAAAAACTCTTCACTTGAGTAAAACACTTTTTTTGCGCTTACAATATGAAATAAAGTGTTGATAATTTAGCCCTTAAGAGGCTGATAGGTTTTATTTACTTATTTAAAAACTGGATTGTTAAGATATCGATGGAGTTTTGTTGTTTAATGGCATGTGACTCAGTATGTAATGTATGTCCTTTGTGTAGTACTGTAGTACTTTGTGTTGAAAGAAATCCCATCTAATACGAGAGTACAAATAGCCTTCATAGGGCTATTTGTAGTTAAGTACGAATAGCCGCAGCCATAATTAAATGCCATATGAGGGCCATAAGAATACTTTATGCTCATTACACTTTAGTTTTAACCATTAAAATTGTGCAGAGCTGACTGAAACTGAAAACCTTGAGTTAGGTTCTTTCCTCAGACATGACTAATTTCCCAGCTTCCAACTGGGCATGGTATTATTGATCACATCATCCATACATTATTTCAGCTGTCTTATGGACTCCATTATCTTGATATGGTTTTTTTTTGGTACTCTAATCTTGATTTATAGAGATACTAAATATTTTCTTTTAACAAGGGTAATGATAAAATATCTCATCTGGTACCAATTATCATTCTGTCAGAAATCATGGTCTTTATATGCTCATTATTTAACTTCAAATATAAAACTGAATCTACTTTTCAGAAGTAATCAGTGAAGTTGAATTAATTATGATTTTTTTTTCAAATTAATAGATGGAAACTCATCAGAGTTTTGAAAGGATTTCAACACTAGGCAGATTCTACATCTATGCCATACATGGTTATGCCACAGAAGTTATGTTCACAGCATTATGGGAGTTTGTGGTCAACTTAAATTGGAAGTTCCCTGGTAATACCAGTGTTTGGTAAGGTTTGAATAATAATTTAAGTTTTAAGTTCCTAATATATAAGGCCTAATCTTCAAAAAATGCTAATTTGGTGCCCAGGATATGAATATTCTATAACAGTTATATTAGTGTCATATACATCAGTATCATTATGTAATATAATAAAAATTTAATTTTTGAAAGAATTACGTGTGCTAACTAGACTTTAAATCCTGTATTTGTTATTTCAAAGCCCATTGAAAAAAAAAGCTTGCATTATAAAATTATTTTTAAAGCAGTGGTCTGCAATATTTTTGTATTTATTGTAATTTTAAAATAACTAAATAATAAAGGATATTTTAAATTTAGGTATAGTTCTGGTAATGCACATTTTTTTTCATTAACACAAGACTATCACTGATGTTCACATTTATTTATTTGTATTCTTTCAGGTCTTTTCCTATATATGGGTTATCCAGTTTAATGTGTGAAAAGCTATACATTTACATGAGTGCGCGGGGCGTACCATTGATTGTAAGAGGTTTAGTCTATACATTCTGGACATATTGCTGGGAATTCAGCACAGGGTACATTTTAAAACAATTTGGAGCCTGTCCTTGGGATTACACGCCATTTCATGGAGACTTTATGGGCCTTGTAACTTTAGAGTACGCTCCCTTGTGGTTTCTTGGTGCCATAGTCCATGAGCAGCTTATCATGTACTACTCACGAAGAATATTCTTTGGCCCTGCTGTTGAAGAGGGAACTAAACGGAAAAGTGACTCCACATTGGCAAATGGAGAAAATAAAAATAAATAAAAGTATAGGGCCTTTTTAGATATATTTATGGAACAACTCAAGTATGTTAATTTATTTATTAACTTATTGTACTTCTAAAAACACTAAATAGAAACATTTTATTAGTCAATTGTAAAAAGGTTTTATAATAAAACCAATATAAAAGGAATAATTAAAAGATCATTAATGACATATGGCTGTCCTTAAAGAAATGGAGGCCCACTGCTTCAGAAATAACTATTTAATAATCTGTGAGTCTATACAGCTTAAAATCTATGAGTCTAAAAATGTAGTTCAACACTACCCAAGGAGTGGTCCCATCATCAAGCCTTTTGTTTTGATTAAGAATGGTTGTTACAAAAAATAGCCCTTGAATTTTAAAATTTTTTTTACAAATCATGACTTAACTGGTTAGTGTGAGAACAATGTAATGAAGCTTGTAAGTATATCAGCAAAATTAAGACTAATTCATTAGCGGAGATTATTTTTGTTACATTGTATATCTGCCTTTTGTGGGTAACTGCCATGCTGACTATTATCTTCCACTGTGACAATGGAAATTAATCGCATGCTTGTTACACAATTTAGTATCTTATAGACTTGTAATTTGCACATGTTAATACAATTTTTAAACATTTCCAAATAACACCCACTACCAGTGTAAATATAAAGCATACTCTGTGAACATTTTTTTTGTGGTCAAATTGTTACAAATAATAGGTGATAGCATTTAGAATCTTAAAGCAGACTTTGTTTGTAGATTAGGGGATGCACTTAGAGATTTGTGTGCTAGTGCTAATATTTGTGGCATTTGAAGTAACTTTGTAAGGTAAGGTAACGGTCGTGATCATTTAAAAGGGCAAGTCTGTCAGAAAATGATATACATGAATGATTGACCACGCAGCAAATTATGCTGACACAAACTTGGTCACATACAAGAAAGAAGCTCCTCTAGTAGAAGAATCAGAAAATGTTTATACGTAACAATCGTAACACAAAGCTTATATAAAATAATAATATTTCCTTGTTTTAAGCATTTAATCTGCGTGTTCATCAAGCTAAACGTTTTAATAATGTTTTTAAATGTTAGTTGGGCCATTGTTTTCCATCCAAATCTTTTTTTGTCGTAGAAAAACTGCAAATGTTGCTCAGACGCTTTTGGAATTAGAAATGCATTTATGATTGTTTTAAATTTCTAATTCGTTTTCCGAAAGACAATACAATGAATCTGGTGCGTTTGGTTTAAATGTAATTAAATATGATCTTTTGAGTCACATTAATACAGTATAGTGTATAAAGCTTTATCATTACTCTCACTAGCAGATATTTATTTAATGAATATAAACACTACAGGATCAGTTTTGTTCCATAAGATTTTCTCAAGAAATTACTTATTAGATTAATCTGCTGTATCAATCCTTCATAACATCAGTCTACCTGTGAAGTACTTGACTTTTATCCCTAGATTATTGTAGTCACTCTTATGTTTGTGTGTTAAGTTAAAGCCCTGGTTACTCAGTTAATTAAGGTCCAGCCATATCTGTTTTAGATGCCAAAAGCTTTTACGAAATTTTTCAGGCAGATTGTGTTGTATTGTAAATGTTAACTTGCTGGTATTTTTTTTATCATTAGTTTAAACCACAGCTCAGCAGCTGTATGAGCTACATCCACAATGTTAATTTTCTGGTAGTTAAATATAATTAGTTAAAACTTAAAGTAACCAGTGTTTAAGCTTTAGCCATAATGTTAACTTGGTAGTTTTGTAACATAACTTAACATGATAATGTATGCAGTGTTTCTTCCAGACTTTGTTTCTCTGGAGGGGGGGGGGGGTAGACTTTCTTCTTGGGAGAAACTCTGAATGTATGACAAGTAAGGTTTGGAAAAAAAGTGAGCAGTTTACTGCTTAGATAATTGTTATGCTAATTTATATTTGGCGCAGAGCAGGACAAAGTAAGATAGTTTCATGAAAAACCTTTCATTTATTAAAGTAGGCCACCTTTTGAAGTATAATGCTGCTGATGTATTATTTAATTAAACTAAATCAAACAATTGATGCTCTGTTAATATTTAAAAGTTTCTTAAAAATCCGGTGAAATGCACAAACTAAAATTAGATGAGCCATATAGTTGTAAAATTGTGTGCGCAGATTCTTGTATTAATTAATGTTGTTCTTCTGTGCTTGTAGGAATTTCTTTTCTAAGCATAATGTATCTTATAAACATTGTTTGATGCCAAATCTGTAAATTAATTGTAACATTTTGATGTGGCTTGTATTTTTTATTTTTGAGTGATTTGTTCAAGGGTTTAAAAAAAAAAGAGATTGTTTACACTTTTTGAAAACTCTCAGCTCCCTAAGGGCTGTGCACTGTTCTAACTTTATATTTATATACTCTGTAAAAATGTTTTTCATATAGTGATTCGCTAAGATACTTCTACAAAACATGGCAGAGTTGTATAATAATTGACAAGATTTAGTCTTCATAATACATGCATTGGTGTATCCAGCTGTCTAAAGTTAGTTGCAACTTTTGGTGATAGTGCACTCATGTCACTTTCAGTGTTTGTTTATATGCATATATATAACATAGATTTACAAATATATATTTACATACATTATTTTGGATGGAATTGAACACACACTGCCCCTCCCCCTCTCCAAATATCTAAGTTCTGCCTACACCACTGTATTCCTGTAATGTATTTTTCAATTTTTTACTGGGGCATTTAAAAATTTAAAAATTAATGTTAGATAGTAATTTTTTTATAAAATAATTTTCCACTTTATAAAATTTTAAAAGATTAATGTAACACTTTAAAAATGTGACTAGAAAATGTTTAAGCTGCAACATGTTTAACAGCTTTGTTATCAAAAGTAAATATTTTGTAAAAAAAAAAGTTTTTCTACACAATGACAATTTTGTTCATGTTTAAAATAATCATATTTATTTAAAACAGATGAATTCACCTGCCCAATAACTATCAGATCCTAAAGGATACTGTGTTGTTTTTTTCTACGATATTTGCCATATTTTTTTTACTTCACCTTTTTAGATATTTATATTTGTATGTGATAATTCTACCATGATTATTTATAAAATACCTTTGGGTCTGTCTCATTACATAATCAATGCTGACCATAACAATTCATCATGTACCACCACAACGTTTAATAATATCAAAGAAAAAAAAATCTTTCAGATCAACTGCTCAGTCAAAATATTTCCTTTAAAATTGACCAATAGTCGCACAAATTATGGGCTACCACAGAAGAAACTTTTTTTTTAAATTTTTGATTATTTTAACATTCATTGCCATATGTTTGTAATTTATAATGTGACAAAAGCTATGTCCATACATTTTTCAATGCATTCCAAAAAATTGTTTACCTTTTTGTAGAGCTCTTTTTCTATGTTGCTTTCCTGTAACCACTTTCCCCTCCCCCCTACAACCCTAGCAAAGGAATGAGTAGCTATTTTAGTGTCATCACTTTTAAAATTTGTGAAATGTGTCAGTCATACCAATAAGAAATTTCCCCACTAGTTCCCCTGACAACCAGTTTACAGAAAAGAACTAAAACAATTAAGCCCAGCATTTTCCAAACTGGCAGGTGTCAACTAGTGCTATGTAAAGGTAAAAAAGAACTGTATGAATACATAAAAATATACAGCTATAAAATAAGTAAATACATGGAGTATAAAAAATTATTGAACTCCTCTGAAGACACAGTTAAAAATAGCATTTAGAATGTGTTTGATCCCAGTGTCAGTATCCTTTATTTTCTTTCTTATAACCATTTCAAACATGATAGGTTCACTGTTTTTACTTATAGACCAATGTTTAATGTGAAAGCTCTACAGGAAATAGAGAGGACATGGTTGACAAGATTTTATGATTTTTCAAGGTGGCACCAAATGTTTGGCTTTTCCAACAGCTGCTTAGCCACAAATAGTTTGGAAATAGCTGTCTCAGTTTAATTTTTTGTGATGTAAAGATCTCATTTTAAAATACATTTGAAATGCTGCTTGATCTAGCTTTTAAGTAAACTTGTTATGCCATTTTAAAATGAAATCAATGTTGATGAAGTAAAAACTATTTGATTAAAGAGACTGTTTTGATGATGATCAGATTTATTTGTATTTTTTTTTAGAAAAATTGATTCTAATTGCATTAGTGTTTGTGAAAACATCTCAATGAATTGAAACAGGCCGAGGTCACAGAAACATATGAGCCCTACTCAGAGGCGTAGAGAGGGGGCGGGGGGGGGGGGGGCGGACCGCACCGGGTGACACCAAGGTAAAAAAATAGCAAAATATATAGAGAAAAACTTGAGGGGGGGTGCAAATCGAAAGTTTGAGGGGGTGCAAATTTAAAGTTTGGGGGGGGGGGGGGTGCAAATAGAAAATTTGAAAGTTTGTCCCCAGGAAGTGTCGCTACGCCTCTGGGGGGTGACACCATTAAGTGCCGCACCGGGTGACACTCGACCTCGCTACGCCACGGGCCCTACTTCCCCTGTCCCATGGACTGTCAGGTTCGAAAGGGTTACTTTTTAGATAAAGGTCAACTGGAATAGTTTTAGACAAGTGCCCGACGTCACCTCAATTATGTTCATAGGAGTATTAAGATCATAGGTCAAAAGTATCTGGGTAGACAAACATGGGGTAAATTATTCTGACAAAACAACCATTTTCCCTGTCTAATTAATGACTAAATAAGTTGATACACTTTTTAGTACAGAATGGCATGGAACCTTGATCCCCTCTCCTCTTCAGAGGAATATGTGACTACTAAACGGAAACCACCCCCCCCCCCCCCCCCGGGTCCCCACAGGAAAGTGTGTAACTACTAGACAGGAGCTTGCACCTACAGAGACGATAAACACGTTATTGCTATCAAATGTGTCAAATGGAGGGGGGGGGGGGGGGGGGAAGGGTACGACACTATCTGGAAATTATACGTTTTCAGAGAGAAAAACCTGCTATCCTGTGCGGTTTTATTTATTAACTTAGTACAGTCCAATACATCTTTCACTCAAACAGCTGGGAAGTTGACAAATAAATTGACCAACACATTGAAACTTTTACTGAGAAAACGATACCCTTTGTAGTTTAATTAATTACTGTCAGTGTTAGGTATATGGTTAACAACAGATTCACACACTTCCACAAGTTTAAGTGGTGGTATAAAATGGTGATACCAAGATGAAAACTTTTACAGAGAAAACAATGCTTCATCCAAGTGGATTGTTTGTTCATTGGAGGGGGGGGGTATTGGGGCCGACTGAAAGAGTTGCACATTGCACAGATAGATATGCTTTATGCTTTGTTTAGTCTCAATGATCGTAGTTAAACGCTATCTGCCAATGGGGGAATGCGTGTCATAACATGGAAGATTGCAAATCGTCAAATATAAATCGGTGCTTGGTTGTAATTTATAAGACCTAATCAAGCACTTAAACATGTCCACACAGTGTGTAGAGGGGGGGGGGGAAGAGACGGACTGTACATTTTTATTCTGCACATTATCTAAGAAACTGAGTGCTGTGGTGATCTTATCTTGTTTTTCTTTTGTTGGTTTATTTATGTTTATTGGTATCGTCATTTTAAAAGTTATTTGAGAAAAGGACCATATTTTGTAGATGCTGCATTTCTGTTTTGTAGAGGATGGTTAGTAATAGACCTACTAGAAATATATATTTTTAAGTGTAGACTTTCCATAGAAGAATTTATTTAGGCCTACATGCAATGTTTAGGTTCAAATGTAGACCAGATAATCTTTTATATCTATAACCCTGCACAGGACATTTCGCTGAGCTTTTTGTAGACTGAAGTTCGTTTTATGTCGGTTTAACCCCTACTATCAGTATAGTGTATGGCATGTTTACAGTTGAATTCAATTTTGACAAGCGTTTTTAACACTCAACCCCCCCTCTCTCTTTCTTTAAACGAGAGGACAATGTAGGCTAGGTTTATCTACCATTGAGCACTTCTTCTCAGTTGTAGTTTAAAATAACTTGACTTTTTAAAATATTATGTTCGCATAGGCGTGTTTGTATTTCTCAGTGCCCGTTATTGTTGATATATTTAACTATTGATTGTCAATGGTAAGTATTAGCACACTTTTCCCCCAAGGGCTCTCGACAAAATGACTCCCGACATAAGGGCTCCCTACAGAATGACTCCGACGTATTGACTCCAGACAAATGAATCGTATGTCCTATATTGGCATAAACGTAACCAATTTGTCCAACCCACCAACCACATGCAGTTCCTACCCCCACTACCACTATAACCACTTTTTAAATGCCTGAGTGAAAAACTTTTTCATGAACCAACACCAATTAAAAAACAAAGATTAATAAACAAATAGCTACATACGACCAATATTAAAATGTTGATAATGTTTTATTTACAACTGTAAAGATGTTCTTATAGAAATATTATTGTTTCTTACAATTGTACACACAAAAGTTTATTCAGTTTTTCAAAGTTTAATTACTTTTAAACATAGTTTGGATTATGAATTTTTTTTTAAAATTGAAATATATATAAATATATACAAATATTTTAAAAAAAAGAGAGAAAAACACTAATAGAAGAAAAAAGAACATGAAACAGTTTTAGCTAGTACAATAGTTAGTAGAAATATTCGTGTTTGATTCATTATTTTCTTCTGTCGACAAAGCGAACTTCGAACGGGGCAGGGGCGACATCAAGACCAAACTCGTATTTGATTGGCGGAGGGGACTTTGGGTCAGAGGGTAGGATTTTAAACCGTTGAATCAGGGAGGCCATCATCAAAAACTGAATCATCTTCGTCATTGATTCACCCATACAGATGCGGCGACCGATGCCAAATGGAACCAACTCTTCTGGATTTTTCAATTTCCCTTCAGAGTCAATGAACCTTTCGGGTTTAAAGGCCATGACATCCTGGCCCCAAATCTTTTTATCAAAATGAATAGAATCAAGGTTAGGAACTATGAAGCTTCCTTTTGGGATCCTGTAGCCTCTGATCTCTGTGTCTGTCTTGTTGGAATGCGCAAAAGAATGCGCAGCAAGTGAGGAAATTCTAGCAACTTCGTTAAGAAAAGCGTTGAGATAAACTAGCTTGGTTCTGTCTTGCATCGTTGGAACTCTAACTGTGCCGATTTCTTCTTCGATTTCCTTGTAAATTTTCTCCTGTACGTCTTGGTAGCTCAAGGCATATATGTAGCACCACAAGAGAGAGGTGCTCGTGGTGCCACCCCCGGCTAAAAATAACTCCAGCATTATTTTAACTAGGTTATCCTCGTCCAGCAGAGTTGTCTGCCCGCCAGAGAGTTTTTTCTTCATCTGCGACAAGTAGGCCGCTACAAAATTGTTCGTTTCGTCGTCATTGTGCCTGCCGATAAATTTTGTTCTGAACAAGTCTGCAACTTTCTGCATGTTCGAGGCCATCATCTTGCCACCGAAAAAATCGCCAGGCAGTTTGTTTAGCACCGGGAAAAAATTGACTAGAGTCGTCGTTGTTTGGTCTCCGGTGATTGCTCTAATTCTTGACATCAACGTTTGAAATGTCGTGTCGTCGTAGTCGAACCTGTCCCCCACGATAAAAGCGCAGATGACATTGGCGATGCTCATGTTGGTCACTACTTGCATGTTAGTAGCCTGGCCGTCTAGACGGCTGATGTAATCCATATAACAAACAACTTCCGATTGAATTTTCTCTGCCAAAACATTTTTCCCCATCCCGAATTCACGAAGAATGGATAAGGTCACAGATCGATTCTCTTTCCAGTTTTGTCCGTTAGCGAAAGTGATGCCTTTCCCTGGGCTGCCCGAGACCTGATTATAATTTTAAAATAAAATAAGTTATACAATTATCATTAGTAAAAAAATATGTTATACAATTATCATTAGTAAAAAAAATAAGTACTTAAAAAAACTTTAAGGTAACGATATAGTCTTCACAGCAACGTTTTCGTACCAAGTCCATAAAAAACATTGCTCTCTCAGAAAACTCGTCTGCCCTTTTGATCAGTACTTCCTTCATCAGATCGTACCCGTTCAGTACCACAACCAGTGTCCCGCCCATTTTTAGACTGGTGGGAAAAAAATATCGTGAGTTTAGAATAGAAGGCTTCAAACTTTGTGGACTATAATGTTGTTGAGGGCGGAGACTCAAAAAAAGTGACATAAGGGGTCGTCCATAAATGACGTCACACTCGTAGGGGGGAGGGGGGTCCGTAATTTTGTGACGGTGTGTGATGAGGGGGGGGGGGGTTAGATGGTGCGACGTCACACTTTTGGATTATAAAAAAGCAATGTTAGAAAACGAATATTAGACGTTATTTCGAGGTTTAGAAAACTGTTTTAATAAATTGTAATAGGAATTGATTAAAATACTCTATTTTGACACAGTTCATACAAAATATTGGAAAAACATCGATGTTTTAAAAAAAAAAAATTCAACTGCATTTTTGAGGGGGGGGGGGGGGGGTTGGGTTGTAGGCTGAGGTGTGACGTCATTTTAGGGGGGGGTCTGGCTTTTTATGACGATGTGTGACGGAGGGGAGGGGGGAAGGTAAAAATCGTCAAAAAAGCGTGACGTCATTTATTTTTAAATTTCTTAAGAATAGGCTCAGGCCTACAATTGAGGAGAAACATAATAATTCTTATTAGATTAAACTAGCGTGTCTGTTGGGTGCGGTGTTTTAAACAACAGTAACAGTGATACCCGTTTCAGTAGCGTAGCGAGGGGGGGGGGGGTAGGGGGACATATGTCCCCGGGCGCCGACCTTAGGGGGCGCCAAAATGGGTTGGAAAAATAAATTGAAAGGTTGAAGGGGGTGCAAATCGTAAGTTTGAGAGGGGGGGGGGGGTGCAAATCGAAATCTCGAGGGGGGGGGGGTTGCAAATCGAAAAGTTTGTCCCCGGGCGCCGGGAAGGGTCGCTACGCCTCTGACCCGTTTAAAAAATATCAGCACTAATTATGAGATTTAAGAATCCAAGGTCACCTGAAAATATCTCCTAGCTCCTTCCGCCATTTCTTGAACTGGGGTCGAAGGTCGTCGTTCACGGTCAGCATGTGACCAATCACGGGAAGTGGGCGGGAGGGGTAGGGAGGGAGACGCTGGTCAGTACGCGAAAAAAACCAGTACACGATCAGAATCAGCCCGACGCCCAGCAGGCATGTAGTGATGTCCATGTTACGGTGCTGATGTGCTCTGTGAAGACAAGATAGAGGTGTGTGGGCAGTGTTTCTTCCAGACTTTTTTCTCCCGGAGAGGGGGGGGGGGGGCTCGGGGGAACTCGGCGGACTACATTTTCCCCGGGGGGGGGGGTGGCGACACTGGTAAAAGTATATGCTTTCTATATAAATTGCATATCGTTCAATGGTGGGGGGGGGGGGGGGGCGATAGATTGGTATTTTTCTTGTTGATTTTTTGAGGTCTGTGTTGTTGTGCGGGGAAACATTTTTGCTAACCTGAAAAGTCCCGAGTTCGATTCCCCGGCTGTCGGGGGTAGGCAACCCATCTAGGACAGGAAACTCCTAAATAAGCCCCCATAGGTTTTCTTTTGGGAGCTCTTGCTAAACTAAAGCCAAGTTGCAGCCTTTAAGTAACGCCTCTCCCTTGGGCCCATCAGCTGTGTGGGAAACACCTGACTTTTCTGCCCTGCCGCCCACGCTTTGTGTCCTGATTGCCAAGGCTAAATTATCCGATCTTCTATTAGACTATGGGCCATTTATTTATTATCTATTTTATCTGTTAATTCTTTTCTAAGTGAGTATAACTCAAACCCTAATCATAATCCTTGTTAAAAACAACTAGGCGATACACCTCACCGTGTCTTTTCCCAAAACATTAGCCTATTTAAGTTTACTCAAACTCAAATACAAAAAGTTTGTATTTTAAAATTTGTTCTAATGGGTCGGAAGTGTGATCTATTGAAAGTGGCAATGTGGATTAGGTTGAAAAAAAAGAGGCCTGCTTATTGCAGAAACATACGGACATAATCACAGGCCCATAAACAAGCTATATAATACCACAATTTAATACATATCTACATACATAGATGTGCATGCATACATTCGCTAAATAAATTTAAGAAAAATATACATGTACTTGATTATTGCAAATCGTCAAATATAACTACATATCTTCATAGGTAGGTATACAGTTCATTATCAGCACAATTATTAGTCTTTAGCTATTATGGTAAACATGCTCTATTCTTTTTCTGCACCGCATTGAGCACAATTTAAAAGCTTACCTTATCACTCGGCAACAACAAGCAGTCTGTTTTAAGAGTTTATATTTGCCGTGGCTTATGTACACAGTGGAAAAAGAACGGCTGAACTTAAAACCATATATAATCGGTCTAGATCTAAAACTTTGACCCAGTTCGGGAACGTATGCTGTTACGTAAAAAAAAACCCCAACGGTTCTGAACTCCAGAGTTATCATAAACAACGTTCGTTTATACAATGACATCAGCGGATTCAGTTGTAGCTGCATGTTCTATTATTATATCATAAGTTATCCGGCTAAGACGAAAACCTCTTAGACCTGCTCAATTGTAGAGTAATTTATCAATAGTGTTTATTCCTGGACTGTGGTGTAGGCAAGGGGTGTTTAAGGTCGGTTATAATCCACCCATGACCCCCCCCCCCCATTTAAAAACTTTGAATGTGGTAAAATCACATGCAGTTACCTTCAGAGTTTCTTCCAGGCATCTACCCCCCCCCCGAACGAAATGGAATTTATATAGAAAAAAATATATTTAACAGTGTCCGCCCCCGAAAAAAGTCTACCGCCCCCCGAAAATTTCAAGTGCACCCACCACCCCCCCCCCCCCGGAGAAAAAAGTCTGGAAGAAACATTGGTTACCTTCTATTAGTGTTTCTTACCTGCATTACTTCGGGGGGGGGGGGAGGTGTGAGGGAACAAGTGTACTTTTACCAGTGTCAGTCCCCCCGGAAAATTTAGCCGCCCCCCCCCCCCCATAAGTTTCAATCCCCCCCCCCCCCCCGGAGAAAAAAGTCTGAAAGAAACACTGCCTACTATCAACCGCTTCGCTTTCCCCCCCCCCCCCCCCCCGGTGACAACTGATGAGTCAAGAGAAGTGAAATTCCGCGAGGCATTAGATGGAGAGATAATTTTGTAGCCCATCCATTTCTCTACATTTAAAGTCCAAATCAATCTAAGGCAGGGGTTCCCAAACTATGGGTCGCGACAACGAAGGGCTTTCTGAGAGTCGCCAACTGAAACCCGGAAATATTTAGAAGAATATCTGAAATTCGGCTTTACATCACTAGAAATGGAATAGAGAAGTGGAATAGAGAAGAAAAAATGCGAACTGTGCAAAGTTTTTCTCAGTCATGAGTCTGTGAAACCTGCGAAACTAAAACTTTTTTTTTGAGACGAGTAATTTGAAACACACCAAAAAAAGAGTTCTTTCGTCGGCATCTATATATATAATTCTCTTCTTCGAGCCGTTAGAAAACAAGCTGCAAACGCTCTCCCTACCTCCCCACCCCTACATGGTTTTAGTGAGCTGTGTTCACTCTAAATGTTTACAAGCAGAGCCAACGATTTTAAACGTAGGGGGGGGGGGGGGAGGAGGAGGGGAGGGAAGGAAGGGGGGGGGGGGGTTATGGTCCTTAACGAGCTACTTATAGTGTTTTAAAGAAATATTTTCAGTGTCAGCGTTGGTACTGTCGAATTCACAAATTATGAATTATTGAAAATTAGAAACAACTAAATAGCGGCGTATGTTATGCCGCGGGCCGGCTCGTCTATATATATAATTCTCCTCTTCGAGCCGTTAGAAAACAAGCTGCAAACGCTCTCCCTACCTCCCCACCCCTACATGGTTTTAGTGAGCTGTGTTCACTCTAAATGTTTTACAAGCAGAGCCAACGATTTTAAACGTAGGGGGGGGGGGGGAGGGGGGGGGAGGAAGGGGGGGGGGTTATGGTCCTTAACGAGCTACTTATAGTGTTTTAAAGAAATATTTTCAGTGGCAGCGTTGGTACTGTCGAATTCACAAATTATGAATTATTGAAAATTAGAAACAACTAAATAGCGGCGTATGTTATGCCGCGGGCCGGCTCGTTAAGGTATAAGTTGCAAACGTCGGAGACTTGATCGAACAGGAAGCACCAAGGAAACGCAGCGTTAGAGCAAACATCATATGAAGTCGCATTAGAAATCACCAAGCAAAAAAAAAAAAAAACAACCCTCACTCAACAGAAAATCTCATCAAACCCTGCATGTTGAAGATGGTGAAGTTAGTACATGGGGATTCCAGTGCGGTAAAGATGCAACAAATATCTGTCTAATATTACTATTCAGCGGCGCATGGCAGACATGTCCGAAGATGTTAAAGACCAAATTCAGAGTGAAATCAAGGTTTCACCATTGTTTGCTTTTTAGGTTGACGAATCAACAGACGTAGGGGTTGTTTAATGAGAACCTGCTCACAATTTTGGTGTAGTATGCACCATTCATATCCAAACGTGACATTGATTGTCTTTCGAGTTTTAGTTTCTAATTTTTTATACCTATCGTTACGAGAGTGGACTTTCAACATTTCTCCAATTAAAAAATAAACCGGGAGTAATCTCCCCTAAACTTTCTCGAATATTCTTATATAAAAGAACAGGGAATGGCAACTCGGGAAATAGACATGATTTTTTAATCCATTTTAATTACTTAAATTAAAAAAAAAAATAGAATAGAATCTCGCAGAGAAAAGAATTGCACACCAAGTGAACGCAAAACAAAATGTGTATAATAGTGCAGAATATTATTAGTACTTTATAAATTCACATGCGGTTTTTGAGAAATAGGAAATAGCATAAATTACTACTTCCGTTCAACGGAAATTACTCAAAATGTGACAGAAGGCAGAGAATTATCTTTTACTTACATGTGAAATTTCATTTATCTATCTGAAATGGTACTCAAGTTATAGGCTTTTGAAAAATTGAAAGTAGAAAAAGATCACTTCCGGTTATCGGAAATCGCTGAAAAGTTGAAATAGACCAACAAATTTGATATAATTCTTATATATGAAATTTCATCAACCTAGCTGTAACGGTACTCAAGCTATCGCGTTTACACACACACACACACACACACACACACACACACACACACACACACACACACACACACACACACACACACACACACACACATACACACACACACACATACACACACAGTGTTTCTTCCAGACTTTTTTCTCCGGGGGGGGGGCACTTGAAATTTTCGGGGGGCGGTAGACTTTCTTCGGGGGGGGGGGGCGGACACTGTTAAAAGTGTATACTTTCTATATAAATTATATAAATTTCATTTCGTTCGGGGGGGGGGGGGGGCGGTAGAATTTTTAAAGCCCCCGAAGATATGCCTGGAAGAAACTCTGTGCACACACACACACAGATACACACACACACACCCACAAGATTGCAAAACTATGTTTTTCCGACTCAGAGACGTGTAACACGTCGAGATTTGAAAAAATCTCGATTTTTTTGCACGATTACAATACTTCCTCTATACTTTGTATCAGAGGCGTAGCGACCCTTCCCGGCGCCCGGGGACAAACTTTTCGATTTGCACCCCCCCCCCTCAAACTTTTGATTTGCACCCCCCCTCGAGATTTTGATTTGCACCCCCCCCCCCCCCCCTCAAACTTTCAATTTGCACCCCCTCAACCTTTCAATTTATTTTTCCAACCCATTTTGGCGCCCCCTAAGCTCGGCGCCCGGGGACATATGTTCCCCCCGCCCCCATCCCCCCTCGCTACGCTACTGCTTTGTATACGAGAAAGTAAAAAGGGGTCGGCACTCGAAAGAGTTTGGGAACCTCTAAGTATAGTTAAGCTATAGATTTGGTACCAGCTTCGGTTGCAGAAAGTAAACAAGAATAGGTAATTCTACGCCTTATAGGCCTGCTTTCGGAGTTTTCTATCCTAGATGGATTTTTGTCTCCAGCAATCGCGAGCCTCATATAAAATCAGTAGTAGGCTACACATCTATATCAATATATATGGGGTATAGTTGGGTTAGAAATACTTAAAAACAGCCCATTTGTCAGTTTCTTCCAGGCATCTCTTGGGGAGGGGGAAAAGGGAGGAGCCTCAAGAACGTCCACCCGAACGAAAATGAATTTTAGTCCTCCTTATCACCCAGCCCGAAAATTTTAAGTGCCCCCCCCCCCCCCCCCCGGAGAAAAAGGTGGAAGAAACTGTCACAGACATCGTTCCAGTCCCAAGTCCTAGCACACAACACCCGTTCACCTTTCGCTCTCTCTTTTATTCACAACTTTCTCTCCCTTACGTCAATGAGCGATCTCACCCAAAACACGGAAAAACACATGACGATCGCTCAGACAGTCCTTCCGCTAGCCAGGTACTCTTCATGCAAAACACAATATAATAAAGATACATAATAATACAGTCTGTGACAGAAACACTGCCTTTTGTTTGTATGGCTGTCTTTCTCAGGCACGCACGTGTCGTTGTCACTGATTTCATTATCAAATGCTGTTGGTTGAGTCACGCAAAAAGACATGTTCAGATCAGTAGGGGAATGTTAAGAGGATGAGGGGAAAAATGCCAACAGACCAGAAAACGGGCTTAGGCCTTACTTTGGCTCTAGCTACTACATCCAGTCTGGACTGATGTGTGTGGTTATAATTCCGGAAGAGATTTTAAATTCCAATCCACCATTGTTACGTAGAAAATGCCGGGTAGGCTATGAACAAAGTTTGTGTTTTGTATCAAATTTTGATGTTAGGTACAAATTAGCTTTAAACTAAAAATTCATTGGTTTATTGCTATACACTGTATGTTTATCTAGATCTAGTTGATATCTAGATTCTAGATTATCTAAATTCAATGTAGTAAATACTATTTCTTAGTGTTTGATGGTTGCATAATTTTTATTATGATGAATGATGAATGCATGGCTCCATGGTTTTTTTGGTTAGGCCTATGGATGGTAAAAAAACATCTGAAACCTCAGAAATTCAGTCAAATTTTCGAGCCAACATGACGACAGGCAGAGTAGACGTTCAGCTGCCGTCAGCCAGGGCCTAGGATGCAAAGGGTCGACTTGAAATAACCTTTTCCCTTATGTGCCCATACTCATGGACCGCCACAGAAAACTCTTTCCACTTTTGCCGCTTTTGCCGGTCTCTAGTCTCTGGCTTTTTTCCCGACTGTAATCCATTTGACCTTTGCCTTTACTCAGCAGTTTACTTATTACTTATTACTTATTACTTATTTTAATAGTATAATAATACTAATATACTTCTTAGACTTAGGGCCGACTTAGGCAGTTTACTGGCACTGGCGCTTGCTTAGCTTAGATTAGAAGAATAGCCTTGCCTTGGAAGAATAGATTTAGATCTAAATGCTAAATATAATATAGAAGTCTATATCTATATACTATATAGTATATAATAATATATACTAGATCTAGAATCTATATACTTAACTATATTTATATTATCTAGTTCTAGATATTAATTAGTAATTTATTCAAATTTGGTAGATTTCTAGAGCTAGAAAATCTAGATCTAGTCCTTCCTTATAGCCCCAGGGCCCAGGGGTCTTTTAAACTTTGTCAACTAGGCCTCTATAACTAATAATTTACTAATAAAATATCGACCCCTGGATCTAATCTAGCTTCTTCAAAATTTTCAATTTATATTTATAACAAACATCCTAATAATTATTTTATTGTACTTTTTACTCTTAGAAAATGGCTGTGTTAAGTTATCTGGACTTGTAGGCTAAAGCAGAACAATGGATGTCGGTCGAGAGTTTTCTTCATGGGATACCTTCCATACTGCCTTGGAGCAGTACTCCAGAGAAAATGAGGTAAAAATCAAATCAGGATTACTGGTTAGAGTGCTAATAATATTTATGTCCACCAATACTTAACATAAGACTAATATGGGTTTTGAAAGTCCTGGTAAATTGCAAGACATGAAACTCAAAATGGTGAGTCAACAAAATGTGAGAAGGGTGCGAAAATGGCCTGTCTTATGACATTTTTGTTTAACTTTTTACCCCTACCTGATTGATCTGTTATCCGCAAAAATTTTACTGTGCCTGAATTCCAACAATCCGATGATTTACATGAACTTTTATGGAAACTTACATTTTAAACACTTTAATTTTGTATTATTATAACGCAGTTGCATGCTTCACTGCATACGTAGATGTATTTCATTAGTCAAGTCCAATGAATCTGATGTTCCCATTTTTAACCGCACCTGAAATTGAACAAAAAGTTTTGACTTAAATATTTAAATTCCACTTACTTCGAAACAGCCCAAATATCACATCTAAATCTGTTACTTAATGTAAAAATGTTGGCCTTTTTTACTTTCTCGTATATACGAAGTATAGAGAAAGTCTTGTAATCGTGCAAAAAAAAAAAAAAAAAAATCGAGATTTTTACAAATCTCGACGTTTCACACCTCACTGATACGGAAAAACACTTAAATGTAGATCTAATTTAAATTTTCAGTTCAAAATTTTCCAATTAGACTTCTCAGTTTAGCCTACTGTTAAATGTTTCCGTTTGATAAAAGAAATGTTGGCTACATCTCTTGAGGCAGATTTCTGTAACGCTAATCTTGCTTTTGTGGTCGAAGGCCTGCAAGCTTATACATATCTCACAATGACCCACTGTACGATTTTTGTATAAGGCTACTTGATTTGGGGAAAAATTATAGTGACATCACTGATGATCTCAGAATACAATGTTAACACTCTATGACATATGCTGAAGGCCTGGCCTACTGATTTCTAAACCAGTGTGAACTCAGTGACCCTCAGCCATGTGACGATTTTCCTCCCGCTGATGAGAAAGTGGGCGATAGAGTAACGACATTATGTAATTTTTAATCTAGATCTAGATTTAAAAAAAAACATACACCACTCACGATCGATACTTGTTTAGTTGAAAACTTTTTTTGTAGCAATTAGCCCCATAGAAAAAAAACAATTATAAGCAAGAAACAAAAATATCTAGCCATTTACCAGTAATCATTTTACCAACTTGCCATTTTGAGATTCGCATCTCATATTTTACCAGGATTTGACTAATAAAAAAATAGGTGTTATAAAGCTTTTTTCAACAAGATAAAATACTTCTTTGATATTTTATAATTCAATTTATTACTCACCCATATCAGTAAAGTTGATTTCAGGTAGCAATTTAAAATCATTACTTCCTGTTTCACGTTTAGATTGCCTATATAGTTGGCACTTGCAAATCTGTTGAAGCTGCCAACAGCAATGAGGCTCTGAAGCAGAAATTTCCAACAAAATTCAAATACTGTTTTGCTAGATTGATTTGCAAACACTATGGAAACTACAGCCGTAATAGTGCAGGTCATCATCCACTACAAAAGTAAGACTTTTTCAAGATTATTTCATCAGTGTGTGTGTGTCAGTGTGTAGTTAAGCATTGTGGTCTGGTGTGGTTGAGCTATAGTTCACCTAAATGCAAACTTAGACTTTCTAACTTGATTCTGGACCTGACTGTCTGAGACATCCCAGGTTTCACCTAGCTCAGATGGATACCTTTCGGTAGAAAGTACACACAAGCGGCTAGTGTTACTTGATATACAGATGTCACAGAAACATATGAACTCTATTTCATCTGCCCAATAGACCATGATTTTGTCTATAGTGAACCTATGTTTTTAACTAGAATGATCCACATTGTCTGCTAGTTTTTAGAGGGTAAAATTTTAAAAAGAATTATACTTAATCTATATTATATCTTCAATAAGTGTTTTGTGTGTGATCTAAATTAAACTGTTTTTGACAATTTTTATAAAAAGATAAGCTTGTTTTATTGTAGAATGAAAAATGTACTAGCTCTTGTTTAATTTTTCTCATATACCTCCATTAATTCTTTCCTGTAGAGCCTGTAAGACTGGATGTACATCCTCAATTTTAGTGTCAGTCAACAAAAAAAGATCAGCCCTGGTCATCAAGGAAGCCAACCTTGAGCACACCCACCAGGTGTCTGACCTGGTCTACAGCAAACACTCAGAGAACCAGAGGCTCCAGGGTGAGGACCGTAGGATGGCCAGTGTCTTGCTTAGAGCTGGAGTCCCTCTCTTTAAAGTTCAGCATTTTATTTCAAACTCATCCAGTCAGGTTACCGCTGATATAAACATTGACAGGATTAAGAATGTGATGAAAGGTTCGTCGTTTGAAAAAGAAGGGACAGAGTTTGCGTTTTTAGCCGATTTAGACCAGCTGATGGCAGAGGATATGGAGTGTATTGTTGAGATAGTTAACTTTGATCTTGTGCCCAGTGCTGTGTACATCCAAACATCAGGTATGCTTGAGAGGATGAAACTTTTACATAGTGGGCTACTCCAGATAGTGACGCACAACATAGGTGATGGTAAAATGTCTCTAGTCAGTGCAGTAGGTGTGGATAGTGACTTGAACACCCACACTGTCGCATTTTGTGTAATTTTATCAGATGCTGAAACTTGTTTTAAATGTTTTATAGAAATTTTCCTGAGAAACAACCCAAGTTTTTGTGATTCTATAAAAGGCGTGGTGCTGGACTGCTCTCAGGGTAATGCTGAGTTCCTTCAGCAGTTCATCCCTCAGGCGTCCATAGCCTGGAGTAGGTCCTACATCCTGGAGAAGTTTGCTGGGGAGTTGAAAGGATCCAAGGATATGAGTACTTTGTTAAATCTCTATAAAGAGATGATGAGCGCTGATACTGTCGAGTTGTATGAAATGAAAATGCAGGAATTATTTCTTGCCAGGCCTGTTAAGTATTCTAAGGAATTTCTGCAGACGTGGGATAGCTGCAGAGAACAGTGGGTGCAGTATGAGATATACTCAGTTGATGGCTTGCAGCATCACAAGTCTGCAGTGGAAGTGGATTATATTAATTCATTAAAAGCATTTATCAAACCCACAATGGGTTTGTCAGAAGTGATAAAAGTGTTGTTAAAATTTGATAGAAATGAAGAGCCAGAAGAGATTTTAAAAGAGCATAGGCTGGGTGAGGCTGATCCAAGTTGTCAGCTGTACAAGCTGTTTTGTTTTCCAAAGGCTTGGAGTGCCATAACGTGCCAGATATCTGTTGCATTGAGCAGCCTGTATGAAATCACAGCACACACGGACATGATTTTTGTCAAGAGGGTTGACAGTGATGACCAGTTCATTCTTGACACAACAGGGAGTAAATGCAGTTGTCAGTATTTCTTAAACACAGACCTCCCGTGTGAGCATATCTTCGCCTGGCTCAAGTTTTCAAACAAACCTCTGTACAACGAGTCCCTTGTCCCAGTCAGGTGGCAGGTGTTTGGCAGGTCCATAACCCTGGATAGCCTGGCTGAATCTCTGTCACATGGCAGCGTGCCTTCATCCTTTCATCATGACGAGCGCTTGAAAGAGCTGCAGGTGGTGTTGAAAGATGTCCTGAGCTTGTGCTGCTGCCACTCCTACCAACAGATGGAGAAAGATCTGATCCTGTTGAAGCAAGTCCTCACTGTCATGAGGAACTGCACATCACACAGAACCAAGCTGGTGACAGAGACGGATGATCAGCCCAAACTACTGGAACTGAAAACTAGTGCACCTATTCCAGAGCCTCGTAAGCGTGGGCGCCCCAGGAAAAAAAACAAACACTTGCAGACAAAAGAGAACAACGTCCTGCCACCAGTGGTGAAGCCCGGGCCTGTTTTGTCTGTCTCAGGGCATAACCTGCGCACAAACATCAAGCACAAGTTTGTTACCAGGGAGGCGCACTCAGGGGTGGTGGAATCTGGGCCAGCACCAGTTAAAAAACCCAGGAGCTCAACTGGCTCAGCTCAAAACAAAACTCTAGGTCAGGATGAGAGTTTGAGTAGTGTAAAAGCAAAAGTTGATTTGGGTTTAAACTCAGTTAATGGAGAAGAGGTTAAAGTTAATGGGACAAACAATGAAAATTTTTCAGATTCTCTTAAGGTTGACATATCTGATGCCCATGATAATGGGCCTGAGTCAAGAGATTTGTATAACAAGAAGAAAAAATCCCCGGGGTGTAATGTGAACACTTCTAGCCAAGGATGGAGACCTTCAGCTTTAAGGAATGACAGCATGCAGCCTAACTCTGATGATGAGGTAAGTGAAGAGGAGGATGAGAATGATGAAGAAGATGATGATGAAGTGGCAAGTGATAAAACTGAAGATAGTGAAGGTGAGACTATGGAAGTGAGGCTAGAAAGAGAAGTGCAGGAAGTTGAGGCATATCTTGCCAACATATCCCATGATGTGCTGAAGGAAGTTATGCAGGTGGCATCTTTGCTGGAGTCACCAGAGGAGAGGGCCCAGAAAGTGAAAGAAGGGGCAGCACCTAGTCCAGATTACCCACCTGATGTGCTGATCAGAACTTGTCAGAGCACAGAGGTTAGTAATCATTGTTTAAACTATTTTGTACTGAAATGATAAAATTTAATGCTGAAATACAAAGCATGACTTTACTAACAACCTGTGGTTTAGGACAACACTATGGGTGTTGGGGTGAGAATGGTGGGATAGAATATGTTACGTAGGTAGGGAGTGGAGTTTTCAATGGTTTTGTTAGACCTGGTGTAGTGTCCAGTGTAGTTAAAAAAGTAACACTTAAAATACTATACATTTTCTACATATTGCAATTACTAGCAAAGCATCATTCTTTAATAGAAGTATTGTAGCTGAGAAAAACTAGGAATACTAGTTTTATTGAGAGTATTTTGATCAATTACAAACTTGGATGATATTGAACATTTTAACAGGAAAATTTTGAGAAAGTTGTAGATAATGTAGTGCAATGCTTTATATTTACTATAGCTAATATTCACTATATCATGGCTGGTAAAAGACTGTTTTTATTCCCATTCCTCAGGTAGTGAATACTATCATGGAACACATCAAACAAGTTTCCCCTGGATTTGACCAGTATCCGTATAAAGTTTCTGCTTGTTTAACATACCGAGCCTTCCAGACAGATGTCCCCATCAGGGATCTTCTACAGACTTTGAGTTTCTGGCCTAGCCATCTACCAGAGTTTCCAAATACAAGGCCGATAGAGGGAGAACTGGCATTAGCTGAGGGTCAAATCCTGAGGCTTGGTAGCTACAAATTAAATCAGGCTGACATGGACACACTTAGAACAGGGGAGGAAATCAGTGTTAAGGTTCTTGAATTTTAATGTTTAATTTTAAAAAGCTTACCCGACAAATGACACAAATGTTGCCAAAATATATAAATTTAGTATTAATTCAATGGACTGTAATCTTTTTGTTAAGATAAATTTCAAGAGAAAGCAGGCTGTTGTAATTAATGAAAAATGGTTGTTTTATACTTACACTAGTTTAAACAGGTTTGTTGGCTGAGGCATATATCCAGACTAGCATTTTGTTTATGTTCTTCACCACAAATTAGGTACTGCATGCCTACCTAGAAATCCTGGCACAAAGACACAGTGGAAAAATGTTTCTCATTCCATTTGATGTTGTACACTCCTGGCGAAGTGGGAACTACAGTGATAGGATTTTCAAAAAGGTTTGAGAACTACTGATTATTATTTATTCTTGCTTTCACAATTTAATGAACAATAAAATATCCTGTTTTAATAGTTTGCTGTATTAAACAATAAATTTCACTTAAGTAGTTTGGGCTGTTGAAAATGTTGCAACATTTAGCTACTATGAAAGTCCCATCATACTTTGTTGATTGTATTTCCTGTTGCCTCAAAATTCATTTAAATTTCAACTAAAATTATTTTGCTTTACCATATTATACTTTGTACTGGGTTAAATTTAATTAAAAAGCATTAACTTTAATTTTTGAATGTATTTAATTTGGTCCAGGTCCACCTGAAGACATTTGAGTACCTGGTCCTGCCCATCCACTGTGGGGCTGAGTTCACTGACCAGGAGAGACAGTCGGGGGAAATCCCTGCCCCGTGCTGGATGGCTCTAGTGGCAGATGTCAAGAAAAGGACAGTGGCCATAATGAACCCTAAAACTGAGGACAAGTATACCATAGCTGCTAATGGCTACATGTTGCAGTGGAGGTGAGTTATGTAGGCTGGACTGTCTGTGTGTTGTGTGGGGATTGTAGTGTCTGGTAGAAATGTTCTCCACACAATTGTTGGTGGACTGTCACATAATAAAGTTTCATTATTTAATTATAATGAAACTAGTGTACTAATCACCTTCATGAATATGTACCTAAAACAACTTTGTTCAAACCAGGCGCTACATGCAGATCCGTTCAGTACATACAGGAGAAATGCTGTCGAGCTGGACTTCACAGTTCAAAGAGTGCAGTAAAGTTGATAACAATTTGAACTCTGGAGTTCATCTGCTTATGGTAAGATCAACAGCTTGATGATTATTCTATTTGGGCTAAACATTGTTCTTGAGATTTTTCTTTTAACTGAATGGCCGTTGGCGGCGCAGTCTGGCATATCCCTTGTGGTTAAAAAACCTTAAAGGAAACATCAGCATAATGTCCAACTAGTATTAAATTAAATGGAGGAATCTGAAAAAATAGTAACCAAGGATTATTTCACATTAGTTTAGTATTTGTCTGTAAATTATTAACATAACAATTTATATTAACTTTGCTATGATATTGACTGTTTAACCATTAATGTACCATTCATTCTACCAAAACTCCACCCATGATGGCCCAATGTAAGGAGCATAACTCTGTATGATCAAGTGAATAGTTTCACAAAATATTTGTTTTTGTCTAAATGAAATTGAAAATTAAGATAAAAACTACTGCTTAATGTTGGGAATAAACCTGGCTTTCCAACAGTATTAAATAGAATATATTATATTCGGTAAAAGTACAGTATAAAAATAAAAAATGTCGGAGAAAATTCAAAACAGGTCATTTTCGGTAGTCAACTTTATTTATTTTTGTCTAAACAACTATGCATCGAATTTAACAGTTAAATATCAATTTGGTTATGTTTAAGATATATAATTCATAAAATACATGCCTAGATACGTTTAGAGGCATTATTTCATTTTATTTTTAATATTAAATCTACTAAAAATAGGACAGATGAGTCTAAAATTTCGAGATAGAAAGAAACTATTATTTTTTATCTTTCAAAAGCGCCATTGAAATTAGAAGACCGGAAAAGGATGCTGAAACTATCCAACTTCCTGTTTAGTTAAAAATTAGGATTTGTATGCCAAATTTTAATGAAACAAATTTAATTTTTCTATGCGTATTGTAAGCGGGCGGCAGCAGGCGTTACGGGACATTAACGGTGTCGGGCGGCAGCGGGCGTTACGGGACATTAATGGTTAATCCATTATAATTATTTTTTGTGTATCTCATTGATTTAATTTTGTATGCCCAGAATGTGGAGGCTGTGATCAACAATGTTCCCCCTGTGGTCATGACACAAGCTCATGTACAGAGCTATCTCCAGCTGGTGGCCGTAGCCCTGAGGGACACGGACAGGGAGACCACTGTCCTGTGTGTGGGGGGACCAGAGTGCCAGGTCCTGGCTGCCAGGGATGCTGACTGGCTGCAGTGTGAGAACTGCCGAACCTGGTGGCACCGGGCCTGTGCTGACCAGCCAGCCTCCAGACCCATATTCTACTGCAACTCCTGCCATCAGAGGATCCTGGCTGTTAAAGGCAAGATCATGACAGGCCAGCAAGCTACTGAGTCATGTTACCAGCCAGGGGAGAGGGAGGAGGCAGAGGAACCCGTGGATGAAGAGAACCAGGAAGAACAGGCAGGAATAGATCATTAGGTTATTTGTCTTGTTTGTGGAGTCATTTTTAGGAATTTTTTTTATTGCTTATTTATAAATTGTAAAACAATTTTAGTAAATTATAACTGTCTGCACTACAATAACTAAAAAAGTACAGGTACCTTTTAGATGTGACTGTAGACCAGATGAAGTAGGGTTTACCTGTTTCTTTGTCCTCTGCATAACAATACCCAGCTCCCTTTTTTTCCCAGACTAAGTCAGGTACCCAACAAAGCTAGGTGGATTTATAGATGGTCTACACCATCCAAAACTTGTTTCAGTCCGTCCAAAACCTTATCACCGAGTGGCGAATGGGGTGGGACTGGGGATTGATAGTTATATTGTAACTTTTCTCTGAGTCTTGTAAAATTTGACAATAGTTTGCCGTTGAATTTTAGAGACTAACTTTAACTTAATCGAATCATAGCTTTCTTTAGAATGTTGCTGCTGACATAGGGGAGGGGATGGATATCTGATTGTTGTTCTCTACCTGGCACTGTCTGACACCTTGCATGTTGCCTAAAATTTAGTCATATGGGCTGTGTTTGAACTCACTGGCTTCTACTGTTTTGTGGCTATGGTGACAACAGTTGTTGGTCTTGTGTGTATTGCCCACCCAAAACTTTATAGTCTCTGAGATCTGCCTGCATATTGATGTGGTCCTACAAATGTGTTGCATATTGTTGCTGTTGAACAACCTTTGTCACTAATTGTGATAGCTAGTGTGTTGTTGATTTTTTTCTGAGCCGGTGTATTGTTTTTTGTTCAGGCAACTTTAAGTGTTGTATGTTATTTCTGTTATTTCTTGGTACGTTGTTGGCAAAATTTGCTTGTTGTTTCCATAGCTAGTGGTTTGTGTGCTATTTCTTTGAAAACGACTGGCTTTATTTCATCTGTAGCATCAAGGTTCTCTGTTTGCTGAGGTGACTGGTAAGGGTTGTTTCTTGAAAATGGGTGTTGCCCCTATCTTGTGTTGTGGTATCAAATGGAGGTACTATTTCTGATTCTAAGCCTTTGCTCATAGGTTTAGTGGGGTCTGCAGTAATGCATTTTTTTAATAAGTCAGTGTCTTTTCCTATCCTGTAGAAATGTGTATAGGTCTGTGTGTACACTGTTCAGGACTTTGTGAGTGTGATTTGTATTAGGTCATTATAAGTTTTATTGATAACCTGATGCTTTGATCCATATGTCTAGTGTAAGTGTGATGTTGTTTGTAAAAACCTGAAATCCTCATCTTTGCGTGTAAATTGTAGAATTTCTATCTGCAGTTTGCTTCTGTTGAATGGTAGATTTGCAGGAGTGTTTGAGAGTTATGTAGTCTTTTATCTTCAGTGACCTTGTAACATGCCTCTAATCCTTTACCGCCTTTTTGAGTTTGTGCTCACGAGTGCCCAAATGTTGGGTTCTTCTGTCTAGGGATATGCAGGATAACACAACATATAGCACACGATACAACAGACTTGATAACTCTAATGATGATACTAAATAATAATGTAATTTGGTATTTATATATATATAGATAAATAATACTATAATAATATAATACATAATAAAAGTTTACGATACAAATTACAATACACAATACGTAGCCCACTCGTCTATGTCCTCTTCCAAAACCACATGCCAACCGTGTCAATCCTTATGTGAACCCCTAGTTTTATGTTAATTCTCAACCAAGGGCTACAACTATAAACAAAAGAGACACGACTATTCCTTGTTATCTCTAGCTAATTAAGCGCTCAGCTAATTTCTAGGAAGTGATTTTAAAAAATGGGATCAAAATTGCAAAGTTTATAAATTTTGATACCCCCTTGTAATTTTACCATTTTAAACTATGATCTATACATTATAGACCTATAAACCCATACATTAATGGAAAGCTTAAATAATAAAGAATATGAAAACACAATCTATAAACATAGAAAATAAAATTAAGAATATAAATTACAAACCAGTATTTTTCACCATCATAAATAATTTTAATGCCATGAATAAAGTACACATAAATTCTCATAAACAAACACCACAATATAAAAAACAAAGTACTAAAACAAGCACATATGTATCCTTGATAGAAATCACAAACACTAGTAACTACAGGGTCCTATGGTATTTGGCAAAGCATTCTGGACACAGTCCAACATTGCAACCAGAACACTCCCACCCACTTCTGACTCTTGCAGAATGACCTGCAACACACTGTCTTTTTTTGCCCACTGGCTTTTACACTAAATCATGGCCACCTAGTGGATGACTGGAAGCAGAAGGCACTAGGGACTCAACACCCTTTCTGGTGGTTGATATTTCCTCCCTTGTCCATTTGCGACGAATAATTTTTGCTGGTGTGAATTTAGAGGACAGGCTCTCCAAAACAGAAATGATGAAGTTGTATCTAAAAAGCACAGGCTTGTCTGTAGTGTTCAGCTTGTATAATATATAGCTGTTTAGCACAGCTCTACCTAACAATGAGAAGAAAACTTTATTTGTCCATTTGAGGGTTTGACGTTCAGCCAGGTACATATATAGTTTTTCATCCCCCAAGTCTACACCACCCATTGCTTCATTGTAAGCATGAATAACAGCAGGTCTCCTGACAGCTTGGTTCCTACTGTTGACTGTGTCAATGAAGCCAGACTTTGCCATGGTAGACAACAGAACAGGCTTTCTGTTATTGTCCTGATAGGCCAAACATAGAAGGTTGCCATTCCTTGCTGATGTAAGTTCTTTAGACTTGAATTTTTTTTAACACAAAATTCAGGCAGCCCTTTCCTATTAATCCTGACAGTGCCAGTAGCTGTAGTGTTCAGAGTATAGAGTTCATGGAACAAATCTACCGAGGTGAAAAAATTATCAACACCCAAGTGCTGACCTCGGTGTAGCAAGTCTGCGTTGGTCAGCAGACGAATAATAAGTTCGTGGGTGAATGACCTGGCTGGAGGAACTGCTGGTCTTTTAGCCTGAGAGTCTGTGTAAATTTCAAACTGGCATAGATAGCCATTTGAGCTGTCTGACAAGCACCACAACTTGATGCCAAACCTTAAGTGCCTTTTATTGGGCATGTACTGGCGAAGGTAGGGGGTTCGCCCTTTGAACCCAATCATGCTCTCATCAATGCTGATATTTTGAAAGGGATGGTAGTGGTAGATGCATTTCTGGTTGAAGTAATCCACAATCTCTTTTATCTTGTAGAGCTTATAATCTGGCTCATCCCTTTCTGGCATCTGGCTGTTGTCAGCAAAGTGCAGAAATTTCAGAATGATCTGAAACCTGTCGCGATTAAAATGAGCAGGGAACCATGGTGTTTCTTGGCTATGGTGGCAGGTGTCCCAATAAGCGTTGTAATTGGGCTTTTGGTTTAAGCCCATGTTCAGGACCACAGCAAGAAAGGCCCTAAATTCAGCTACGGTGAATGGAGTCCATTTGTGGGTGAATGGAGTCCATTTGTGGGTGAATGGAGTCCATTTGTGGACTTGTGATTGGAGAAGGCTGTCCAGCTTATCTTTGTTGCTCTCGATGAAATCGCTAGCATAGCAGTTTGTCTCATAATAACATTGGTGATCTCTGCTGTTAAAAAACAGATCCAAGTATAGGCTTAGCATTAGCAGCTGGTTTATGCTTTATGCACATACATAATGTTTCTTCTAGATATGAAAATGAAGCAGGAATTACATTCTGTAAGATGTTAAAATTTTAAATTCTATTAATTGCTCTCTTAACATGACATCTGTGAGAAGAAACCATTTTGTTTTCACTAAGCTCTTCCAATGGGAACTGAATTTTATCCTTCAAGAAGAAAGGTGTGACTAGTGAAATTTTCCTTTTATTAAACTCAGGTTCAAGAACAATGAAACCCCTGTCCACAATAACAGTGTCTCCTTTTAGAAGATCTAAAATTCCACTTCTAAGCGTGATCTCTTTATCTGAAATACTGCCTAACCACAAATCAGAAATAAAAGAAATAGCGCCAGAAGGTATAATACTAATAAGTGCCATAACAGTGTTTTGGTTCTTGTAAAAACTGAAACTTGCTTTCTGGGATGTTGGGTTATAGGTTTCCGTAAGAAAAATTCTGTGGTATCTAAAATAACTCTGCATTCATGAAAGTTTCTAAGAAAGGCGGTGGCCATATAACATTTAACAAGATCCTTAGATGGCTAAATATTGATAGCCTTGGCCTTAATATAAAGAACAGAAATTATTGTCCTAAAAATATGAGAACACATTGAAACAGATATTTTAAAATCTAGAGAACTAACCTTTAGAGTTAGCCCATGCCTTAAAGGAATCAAGGTTAAAAAAAAAATTGATCCATTTGTGACAATTCATTTTTGTCATTAAGTTCTTTATCTAAAACAAAGAACTCAAATGGGACACAAACAGCATCCTTACTAAAACCAGTTAAAGATTTTACAGCATCAGTTGAAAATTGATCATACATGAATATTCGGTGCTTTATTAAGGCACTTAATTTATCATACTGTGCCTCTTGTGTTTCTACTGTCTGTATTAGATGGACAATATCATTTGTTGTCAAATCTGTTTGGACCTCTGCATCTTTTGTTCTTGCTGGTTCTGTATTAGATGGACAATATCATTTGTTGTCAAATCTGTTTGGACCTCAGCATCTTTTGTTCTTGCTGGTTCTGTATTAGATCGACAATATCATCTGCTGTCTAATCTGTTTGGACCTCTGCATCTTTTGTTCTTGCTGGTTCTTGACTCACAACAGGAGCACTGGCACTGTTAAAAGTTGAATTAAAAAATTCATACCGAATAATTTTTAAAAAAAAATGTACTTATTTCAAAAGTACATTTATTTACCTTTAATTTGGTACCAAGTTCAATTAAGAATGTAAATTAGTATTCTAGAAAATGCTTTCTAAAAAGACATGTTTGTTTTTACATGGCAACCATGTCTAACTTCTATTTCTTTGTTAGCGCCGATCAGTTATTGATAATTTGTGACTGTCGTGCGTCGTCTGCTATAGTTTTTTATGGAAAGAAAATTTTGTACTCGAGCCAATCCAATGTGTTGTTAGTTATCCATTTTAGCTTGGAATCCATGAAACCGATGGATACATTTGGATCTGCGTATAAGATAATCAGAAATACCTAAAGACCTTTCTCAAAAAATGTTATGTGGGGGAGAAGACTAGCAATCAACTGATCATTTGGTGTTGATAATTCCCCTACCAAGTATCGATGTAGTTGACAAACTAGAAAAATCTTTGATGAAGCCAACAAGTCAGTCATAGCAGCAGTAAATAGAATTTCATCCCAGTTTCCCATACAAATCACTGACACCTCATCAAGATGTATATGTTGTCCAAAGACATCTAAATTGGAGGATCAGATACACCTGGCTGCTCTATCATCACTTCAATTCTCTGCTGGACCTTTTGAAATAATGGAGCTTGTTTGTGCCAACCGAAAAAAATGAGATCAACTCAGACAAAACAAGATTAATAAGGAATGTCTTTGTGATTAAAAAAAGCACTTACAAATTCCAGATTTTATCTTCTAGCCACATTCTGATACACTACATGAACACTTTGTTTTAACATCCTGGGTGTAAGGGTACTTCACATCATCATTAGGATTACAAGAATACTTCACATCATTAGGGGTGGAGTGGTACTTCATATCATAAGCCATAGCTGTCAGTCGTTACACGTCTGATGTATATTCTGCGGTTGTCTCCCTTGCTGACATCTTTCTGTTTTCTAACTGGGTCAGATGCGTAGCGGTGGCCCACCCTGGTATCGAATCTAGCACTCAGTGGTGTGACAAACGTTCCAAGTGTTGCTTGGTCATTTTGAGTGAGCTCAAGGAAAGCAAAATTGGCCGCACTCCCCTACAAACAAGCTGGTAGATGCAGTAGCTGACTATCTTCATCCCAGCTGTTAATGCGAGGTATGGCTTGAAACTTACTCCAAAACACTTGATATGGCGCTGACCCGTCGTATTGTGGTAACCCCTGGTTCATGCTTAATGGTCGCTCGTCTTGTCTTGCGATTCTCAGTTCTTTAATTGTTTCTTGAAGGTTTCTTACTAGTGCCTGTAGTTCGATATCTGCCATTTTTCTTTTCTGTAATAACCTGTCTGCTTTGAGTCTCTCTGGTTGCGTGTTAAAGTTCGTCTCTTTCGCTGCCACCAAATGTAATGTTATCACTGCTACAAAATGTCTGATTCCTAACAAATTCACTACAATAATATTGCTAAAAAATAATAGATCTGCATCCTTCAAAAATGACCCAAGTTACAAAATTCACAATACTTTTTCAGAAAGTCCTTTTTCGCTGTTCCGACGTACTTTATAAGAAGAGTTATGTTCGCTGCTACATCTGATTATGTAATAATTGGTCTCTTTCTAAGTTCCTCTGCTACGTTTGGGTGTCCTGTGTAAAATGGGTGAGCAGAGCCGCAAGCTGCTCTGTAAGCTTATCAACCTTGTCATCTAGCCTGGACTTGGGCAAAGTGGTTTCTTCATTAGACCTAGCCTGTAGGCTGCCACATTGGCGGGTTCTGGGTCCTCGTCTCCTGCCTATCGCGTAGAGCCATGAAGGTTACCTTTAGGTCCTGGAAAATCAGGTCTTGTTGCCTGACCGAGGCTTGGCTAAAATTCTCAACAAATTGGTCCCGTAAAAATTGGGCATCCGTCTGGGGTACCTGCAGTGTGCTCTGCCTTGCAGCCAGTGTCTTGAAGGCCCTGTGCAAGTGGTGGGAGTACGCCCTCACCGACTCATGTTGGTCCTGTACGACCATTTGAAGTTGTGCCATGAGCTGGGTTTGGGCAAATGACTGTGAGTGAATGAAAAAAAGGAATTCTGGAGAGAGCAACATATAATTGTCCATGACTGAAAACAGGTTTTGGAAGATAACTGCATATCGTTTTGAATGTTTGGTCCTGTGCTTTATTATTGTCATGGCGAAGTCTAATCTAACCGGGAATTGTCTGTGGATAAAAGTAAAAGGTTGCTTGTTAATGCAACTGTCGACCGAGAGTGCTTGTATCTGCCAGTTCCCTGCTCAGTGGCGCCATTCTTCTTTCAACATAATTGTAGGTAGACATTTCCGGCGCATGTGTCATAGCTATTTACACAACTGAATTGTACTTTCGGAACCTGTCTGCACCCACAACTAGTGTTTTAGGAAAGCGTGGGTTCTCATTAGGTCCCCCATCCACGAAACCAAGGGATATTGGTTAAATGTTGCCTTCATGGGTAGCTACCTCTTTAAAAGATTCAAGATGCAGCAAATGATCCACATCTCTCCCATGTGTAAATGACTACAGGACATTACCCCCCCCCCCCCCGTCAATTACCCCCTGGACATTTCCCCCCATATTTACCCCCCCGTAGCAATTACCCCCCTGTCAATTACCCCCTTATGTAATTACCCCCAAACTATATATATATTTAACAAAATCTAAATGTACAAACATGAATAAAGTTTAAAATAAGCAACATAAAATATACATTTTTGAATTTTTATTTTCTGAAATAAAAAAACAAAAGGAAAACTTACAAACATTAAAAAATATATACAACAAAATCTAAATGAACTTACATGAATAAAATTAAAAAAAAAACTGACAACATAAAATAGTACATTTCTGAATTAGAAAATTGAGGAAAACTTACAGACATTTAAATTTGAATATTGTAAGCTATCCCTCTTAAATAGTCCATGTGATATCTGTTGGCTATAGCCTTAACGATGTTAAAAATACGAGAATGGATGTTACGATATTTAATTCTTGGTGGTTCTACTGGATGTCCACCAAGCCGCTGACCGATGACCACTTTGTGAAAACCTTGCTCGCGTTTGAGAATATTGATGAAGCGCCAGATATTAGGATGGTCAGCAGCAACTGCAGCTTGCATTTTACGATGACAACCATCAACGCTGTTGTTGGTGCGAGGTAACTCATTTTCCACCCTGTGGTGTATGTTCCAGATGTGAGGCTCATAAAGGGGAACAGCTCGGCCTCGATGTCTTACTCTTCCAATGTAATTATCCTCAAAATAATCTAGCAGTTGCTGCATTTCATTGGTATTTTCCGTATGTTCTCGAAGTTCTTCAAAAACATCTAGATTGTCTGCTATTGGCACAAAAGCCAAAGCACCTATCATCCTTACCATGAAGGCGAAATCTGCTTCATCCACATACTGTGTTTGAAATCCAAGAACCTGTACTTTTCGGTATAGGCTCTGTGTCAAATGATAAAAACAGCCTTGGACGTGTATGCCTTCATCACATTCAGAATCAACATTCATGGAGGATTTTTCATAATCCGGCATAGCTAAAATAGACCGGGCGGCCGGCATTAGTTCTTTTAATTTCATAAAAAGACTGCGATAGGTTTCAGTTGTTTTGTTTGGCAGCAAACAGTACAGTGTTATGACTCCCCTTCTCTAATCCTTTTGAATTAGTCAGGGAATCGTAAACAAGAAGAAGAAAATAAAAATAAATAAACGCCAATCTCAGTGATTTCTATTTATTGCCACAAAATACAACACCTAACGTTAACCCGCCACCACTTGGAACACAATAAGAAAAATACACAACTATCTACAGCAACTAAAGTCCTTAGTCAAACTACCCTACTTGGCCCTAACTGTCCAACCTAGCCTAGGTTTAATACAGTACAGACATTTCGTGGCTCGCCCCTAGCTCACAGAGATGACCCATGTCTGTCTCCTCTAAGCCTAGCTATCCGAGTCGAGTCTCCGTGTCCGAGTGTTCCCCTAGTCTGCTGTCTACCCTCCTAAAGTACTTGTCCCCCCTGCGACACCGTGGGAACAATTTTAATCAGAGCCTGACCCTAGGTCAGATCTGTCCATGACGGTACACTCGGCCCCGTCCGATCTGGAAGGTTTTCCCAGCCATAAATCACAGGCTGTTGGCCGTTAATAGCCGAGCCCCAAAGACTCCAATTCTGCACCGCCCACAGCGTGGAATCCAATCCGCCGTGTGGCCGTCAAAACCCCAGACTCTCACGGCCTATACTGGCCAGTCCATGAACATGCCTCCACATTTCATTTTAATTACTTGGCCGGCTATTCAAGCGCTGGTCACCTGTCTCCTCGATAGGGCCAAACACAGGTAAAGATCCCTTGGGATTGTAACAACAGGCATGATGAAGGCATGAACTTTATATAATTGGAAAAATAGCTCAGGCACAATACTAAAGGTTCCATCCATAAACCAATGTAAAGATTGTTCTAATAAAGAGGATGATTCATTAGTTCCAAATATTAAAATTCTATTTTTGTGGCCAACACCACTTTCAAACATCTGATGCATGTGTGTGTTCATGTAGAAATCCAACAACAGTGTCGTTTTTAATCTTTGCTTTACATTTACACATTTTTGTTTTTAGTCGCTTTCCCAGTCCATCACCATTCTGTCCCCACTACGGTCAACTACATACGTGACTGCTGCACCTTACCCCATTGTTGCCATTGTAGTAATTACAATCTAATTCTAACAAGTGCTTCGTGGATCGTCTCCGTCAAGTCTGGTCACTTGCATTGTCAACACTCTGCAATCTACGCCACCACAGATATCTTTTCTGCCTTCAGTGGAGTCTAACCTGCGGGGAATCAGTCTCAAGTATAACACTGACCTGCTTAGAGAGAAATCTAGATGTTTAAGCTCAGCTGCTAAGTCATCCATAGTTAAACAGGCATGCAATACTTCCGTCCTTCGCTCCAGATAACTCTGTTCTTCTTCCAGAGATGGACGCCCACATCTCGGCCTGGCAAACTTTTCTACACTCGTTACCCTTTCCAATATCCACAAGGAGTGATTTTAAATTTGATTGGCGCTCCTTTTGTCGCTCAGCATCTTTCTGCATACGACTTAGTTTTTGTTCACACTTTTTAACCACATTTTTGGAACTTTCCAGCTGCTTTAACAGTCTTTAAGCTCTTGTAATTTGACAATTTGAGCGCTATCTAGTTTCATGTTTTCTTTTAATTTTACTTGCACTGGTGCATTCTTTTTAAGAGAATCGTCCACATCTAGTTTTTTTTTTTCTGAAACTGATGGTCTAGACTCACATGACTAAGTGCTTAGTTTTTGGTCAGGCTCTTGCCTGGTCCTAAATGATAAAGATCGTGACTGATTTATCCTGATGATGCCCTGCAGTTCAACTAATTTTGCTGTTAATTGTTCCTCTGGTTGCCTCTTTAAATTAAGCCATAGGCTATTTAAAAATTTTTTATAGTACATTTTATTTTACAAAATTATTTTTCACTTTTTGGTGATCCTCCGTAACAGGACGGACAGTTGTTCCTCATTGAACAAAATTGTGGCTGTAACAGGGGTTCCTTCCAAACTGGTCAGTGGTTTTTTTCTGGAGTTATCTTCTGGTCAACATGTGCATCAATTGACCTCTTTCTTTTTCTTCTGTTCTTTTTTTTTTGCTTGCCGTTGGTTTTTACTTGTACCAGGCTGCGGGGCTAACATCTCGGGTTTTCCTACATTTGGCTCCCCAGTAGGGTTTCCTGTTTTCTCGATAAG